ATACAGAAAGAAAGAAATCAAGAAAATAAATAAAGAAAGAAAGAAACAAATGCAGAAAGAAAGAAATAGATAAAGAAAGAAAGAAACAAAGAAAAAAAACAAGAGAGAAAGAGAAAACAAGAAAAAAAACATAAGAAAAGAAGAGAGAAAGAAAGAAAGAAATAAAGAAATAAAGACATATAGAAATAGAAAGAAATAATGAAAGAAAATGATGAAATAAAGAAAAGCAGAAAAAGAAAGAAAGAAAGAAATACAGAAAACAAAAATAAACAAAATAAAAGAAACAAAGAAAGAACGAAAGAAAGAAAGAACGAAAGAAAGAACAACAGAAACGAAGGAAGGAAGGAAGGAAGGAAGAAAGGAAGGAAGGAAGGAAGGAGGGACGGAATGATGGATGGAAGGAAGGAAGGAAAGAAAGAAAGAAAGAGAGAAAAAGAGAAACAGTGAAAGAGAGAAAGAAAGAAAGAAAGAAAGAAAGAAAAGAAAGAAAGAAAGAAAGAAAAACAAGAAAGAAAGAAAAAAAGAAAAAAGAGACATAAGGAAAGAAAAAAACAAGAGAAAAGGAGGAACAAAGAAAAGTACGACAAGAAAAGAAAGGATAGAAAAGAAAGAAAGAAAGAAACATGACGAAATAAAGAAAGAAAAGGCGGAAAAAGAAAATAACAGACAAAGCAGATAAACAAAAGAAATAAAAGAAAGAAAGAACGACAAGAGAGACAAACATAATAAAAACCAAGAAAACAAAGCAAAGAAGGAAAGAAAACATAAATCAGAAATAGAAGAGGAAAATAAAGAAACAGTAAAGAAATAAACAAAGAAGTAGAAGAGAAAAGAAAAGGAGCATAACAAAAGAACAATCAAAAAGAAAGAAAGATCAAAAGAAAGAAAGATACAAAGAACAAAAGAAGGAAAGAAATAAAGAAAGAAGGAAAGACAGAAACGAAGGAAGGAATGAAGGAAGGAAGGAAGGAAGGACGATAGGAAGGAAGGAAAGAAAGGAATCAAGAAATAAAGAAAAAAAGAAAGACAGAGAGAAAGAGAGAAACAAAGAAAATGAGAATTAAAGAGAGAAGGATAGGAAGAGATAACGAGAGAAAGAGAGAATGAGAGAAAGAAAGACAGGGAGGAAGAGAGAAATAGGGAACGACAGAAAGACAAAAAGAAAACGGAGAAAGAGGAAATAACGAAAAGTAAAACGATAGAACAAAGAAAGATAGATATACCAGTAGACAGACAGAACAATATATAGACAAACAGACAGGCAGACCGATAAATAGATTGATAGATAGATAGATCGGTAGAGCGATAGCTAGTTAGATAGACAGATAGATAGATAGGTCAGCACATAGAAAATACACACACATATTTACTTAGCTGAGCCTGGTTGAGCTCTTAACATGGCATGCGATCCAGGGATCGTCCGTCCAGAGTCAGCTGGGTATGAAAGGCCTAAGAACTTATATCATATTACATTTATGTATGTTAGTTATTTAGGATGCATTTACCTTTTTGGGGGAGGGGGTTGCCAGGAAGTGTAAGCATCTATATTTGTATACACCCTTTCAAAAAATGCCCGGTTTCTCTCCATGTCTCCATCCCTTTATTATACATAGTCTCGCGCTCTAATGGCCGCATTTTTTTTTAGCGGTTTTCGGTGTCGGCTCAAGACAGCTGATGCAGCTGAGGATGCTGGTTTGACAAGCACTTTTGGCCAGCAACGTTTGGAAACTGATACCAAATGATTCTACAAGCACTGTTGGCTAGAGGGTAGCCAATACCACTCATAATCCAAAACCCTGGATGCATAGCAAACCCCCAAACAACAGGAACACAAAATGTTGTCAAGTCCAGCCTCGATGTCATTGACGATTCTCGAACTAGATCTCGTTTGGTAAGTCAAATCCGTCAAGATGAGAGCTTTGTTGTTTCTCACTTGTCCTCCCAATTCATCCCATTTGTCTAACCAAGGCTCCCCGATGATGAACTGTCCAATCTTGTTTCCCAATTTCTTGAGCTTGGCTCGAATCTCGCCCTCCACTGTCTCTTCAATGCCCAATGTCAACATGGCTAGGACCTCCGTCACTGGATATCCCTTGCACCTGACAAACTCTGTGGTCGTGATGATGTAGTGGTAGAGCTTAAGCCATTCGTAGTCATTCTCATTAATCATGTGGGAATCAAGTTGACCTTCTGTCAGCATGTTGAATGACACGGCAGCATGAAATGTCAATCTTCTCAAATACTGTTTCCAGATCAAGTTGGATCCATACTTGTGAGTGGTGTGAGGGCCCTCTACGATTGAAAGTACAAAATCCTTGCCAGAGCGTAGGAATGCAATTCGCTGTTCCTCACGAGCATAGTCCTCGGCAGCATGGAGTCGCACTTCCACGGTTGAAGGTTTCCTTCTCTTCATCCAATCTTCATTTGGAATCCAATCCTTATCTCTTTCTGGTTCAGCATGACCTTGAGATGTTGCTCCGGGTCCAGATCGGAAAGCTGCATGGGTCGACGAAGACGAGGCTCCGCCAGTCGATGATCTTGGCATCTTCTTCGGTTGTACGCTTGAACTTGATGATTGTTGTGATGCCTTTGGCTGTGATCCCTCCGTAGGAGCGGATGTACTCTGGGCACTGGGTCCAGTTGATGTGTCATCATTCACCCATGAAAGCTCCTCATTGTTCCAGAAGTCAACTTCGTCGGGTCTTCGTCCATCTTTGAAGTTCAGGGGGATGTCCCAGTCATCGAAATTGTGCATGTTGCCACCTGTTCCAGCTTGAGTATCGGTCAATGATGTTGTAAAATCTTTGAGGGAACTATGGCAAGCATGACGTTTCTCTTTCTCGGTATATCTGGCCCCTTCATCGGCAATTGAGACGTTGTATCCATGCCCAATCAGGATTCCCAAAGGAATGTCAAAGGCCTTGAGGATCGAGAACTGTAGTTCGGACAATTCTGCTACTCTTGGCAAGTTTCCATCTCCTCGGGCGCTGGTCTTGTGTCTCTCAAGTGTCGTGCCGAGGGCTAACAAACGCAAGAAATGGTTCTGGGCTGCACTCCTCCCTTTCGGCTGATTGGTTTCAAAAGCAATTACATCCTTCATCACATCCTGCAAGATGATCTGATCTGATGGGTTCTGCTCATTGTGATACCTCAGTGCATGTCCTAGGTGCCTCATCTGGACATCAATCATGTGCTTCATTGCTTTTCGATAGCTGTCATTGTCAGATGGAGACTTTTCGGGGGTGGGTGTGGGTGGGGGGGTAAGGGGAGACAGGTGGGGAGGGGATGACGGGGCGAGGGAGGAACGCGGGTGACCGCGCCCCTAGAAGGGGCTAGGGGGGAGTAGGGACAGGGGGGAGGAAGGGTGATATGGGAGAAAGGAAGGGTGTTACGGGGGACACTTCTAACACTCTGCGGAGTTGGTTATTTGATATGGTGGGGGACGGATGGAATGGGTCTGGAGGGAAAAGAAGGAGTTCTTTAAGTGCGGTGTGATATGGGGTTGTAAGATTGGGAGAGACAATTTTGGGGGCTTTTTTTGGGGTATTGGAAGCAATCACTTAGGTTCAGTTGGTGGAGATGGAGAGAGGGTGGATAAGAGAGGTGGGGGAATTTAGGAAGCCGTATTTACCTTGGTCAACTCGTCCATGACTTTGAAGTACTCGGCTGTCCTTGTCACAGCTAACCATGATGTGGCACTCGGATCTGTGTTGAATGATGGTGTTCCTCGATAGATTTGCTTCATGCTTCGGATCTTCGCCTCAGTTTCGGCTGCAGTGGCTTGATCATCAAAAGGTTCGGGAAAATGTCCTTTGGACAATACTATCCAGAGCTCATCGAGTCTGTCATAGATCTCCTTGTCCATGAAGCGTCCCACAGTCGCATCTTCGAATGGGCATCTGCTTGCAAAGACTTTCACGAATCTCGATCCCTTTGACAAGAACTCCCATCCTGAACACCCCTTCTCGATGTCCTGCGCTCTCTGCAACAACTTGTAGGCTACCTCCAGGGCTTGTGCAGTGGCTTCACTGGTGTGTCTGGAGTTTGCAAAGTATGCTGAGTACACAACTGCAGGCGGCATACCAAACCTAATCCACTGGTTGGCTGTGTCCTCATCTGAGATCAGTCGAAAATTCGAACCTCGGGTGTCTCGGAATGGTGATGGAGTCTTGGCTGCAATGGACCCTTCGGACAATCCCTTCAGCACCCGTAATGCAACGGTGATTCGGCTTCCGGCGAATTGCCCTACTGAGTTCAGATCCTGTGTATCGGCCATCCCGCTTTGTACAGAATAAAGTCGCACGGACCGTAGGTCTCGTGACAACTGTTCGAACAGCGAAAATAGTTGTACGAACCGTAGGTCTCGTAACAACCAGTCAGAGTCGAATTCAGAAAGCAGTAGACACGAAAATGAAAAGTGCCACGATGAAAGAACCGAAGTTGATGTCAATCTCGAAAAGTACCAGTGCAGTAGCGATCGCTCGAACGAATGGTCAATGGCGTCGAGCTCTCGAGTAGCACAAACGGATGTTGCCACCGACTTGATTGGGTGACTGCGGACATTCTCGGAGTCACGAGACATTTCAGCTTTCAGTTGTTCATCACATGCAAGCGGCTTCCAACGTTTCATCACTCTGACGTTCACAAATGGACTATTCCTGATTACATGATCATTGATTCCATTCATGATTATCTTGGCTATCCATTTAGTGTAAACTTGAGTAATGCGAGTTTCCCTACCGGCACACTCTGCATGGTCATGACGGCGATCGCATCTTCTATGAAGCTTCGGAAAAAACACCCCCCATGAGACAATCTTCCATGGTTTCTTGATTGGTTTGGGAGTCTCTTGGAATTGTGATTTCAAGCCATACATGCATCCATCAAATTTGTGCTCATGAGATACGGTTCCTTCCACAAGTTCTGTCATTCTACGGTCCTTCCAGTAGTCACAACCTCTAGGCAACTCAAGCAAGGCTGGTGATCCCATGTTGATAAGTTCACTTAGCACTGATGCAAACACTTCCCACATCGCCCAGAAGATCTGCTTCTTTGCTTCGATGAGTTGTGTTGTTGCTTCGCTCACCCATCGTTTGATTCGGTTCCATGGTGAACCGCCTGTACATGGACCTGCAAAGAACACTGAATCAAGTTTGGTCCGAAGGCATCGCCTTGCTTTACTGATTCCGTACGGAGAGAGCATGTCGTCATCTTCAGTGATTGGCACGACATGAAACTTCATTTCGTCTTTCATTTTGTTCTGCAAGAACGTAAACCAGTTTCTCTCTTCCGAACATAACAAGACGAAGCATGGGACTGCTTGAGGAACTTCGGTCAAATTGATTGCAAGGGAAAACTTCGCATACTTTGACGTCATCATGTCACAAGGTGATTTGGAAAATTGAAATTCCAAAGTTCTGTTTTTCTTTTCTCTCCAAAGGATTACCGACACTGTAGGATGGTCAACCTCATGTTTGCCTACTTCAACGTGATATTGGTAGGGGACAAAAACATCAGTGATGGGAATAGTTTTCACGTCATTGCGATTGGTGCATAGCGTGATTACTCCCTGACTCACTTTACAGTTCTTACCTCCATCGATCACTTCAGCATTGGCGAGCACCTTGAATGTCGATTTTCCAGTCCAAAATTCATTCAACTTGTTCGTTGATTCATGATTGTCGCCCTTGAATCTCCATATGTCTTTGATCACTCGAGTATTGGTTTTGAACTTTTGTTCAGTTTCCCTCTCATCACATATGATCCTAGGGTCACAAGGACAGTCTTCGCAATCCTGTGGTACAAAGTTTTGCCTTCTTGGCGTTTTGTGAATTCGGATCAATGTCTCTTTCCCATCCCACTGCCAATGGTCTTCATTTTTCTTACCTAACACTTGGGATTTCCGGGTGGATTTTACAAACGGAATGTTATCATTGATGTCCAATTCCGGATGCGTATGACATAGGCCAGGTGTTGAAGTGGACTGTAGGTGTCCCTTTCCTTCACCCTCACTACATCCTTCACCCTCACTCCCCCCATGAACAAGGCGCATAAGCGTATTGATCACACGTGTGGCTGGCTGAAGGCACTGGTGAATGGATTTCGGGTGTTGAGACGGTGATGTCTGTGCATCTAAAAACAAGGCATCAACCGAGAACATCAGCATTGGTGAATCGGTCAGATGCTGTACACGGTCATGTTGTGTTGACGCACACGAGTCACGTAGTGATCTCGAGTGGGCAGGCGGGGCATGCACGTGCTTTGACGACATCACCCGGTGGGTTGAGGTCGTTGAAACGGATTGTGAAACAGTGTCCGGGATCAACGGCTGCTTGTTAGGCGAATGATACTGAAAACACGCTCGTTCAACCCACTTATCAAATCTGATGGCCTGCTCGGGTGGAGATGCACGGTGTTCGACCTTTGTCCAGGTACCATTGAGAAGAACCCATGTGGATCTCAATACATCTGGCGGCACAATCAGGCCGGGCGGCCTAGGACGATAAAACACCGGTTGCTTGACGACAAAAATGGGATCCATACCTGGCAAGTATTGTAGCTTCTCTTTACTAGTCAAACCCTTCCTATACACTTCTTTTGGCAAAATAGGGGTTTCCGTGTATGGGAAGTTTGGGATATCCTCGGTTTTGGATTGGAAAACTTGTCGAGTAGTCATATCGACATCGGTGCTTGGCTGCAACATGTCTAAGACTTCTTTACTCTGCAAGTCCTGAGGTTCCAACAAGTTGATTAGCATACAAGCTTTCTTCCATGCCATGGGATTCTTGAATCCTTTAGTATGGATATCGGCTGCCATTTTGGCTGTAATTTCATAGATCAATACAAAATGATCCTTTTGGAAATGTTCATGCATGGAGGCAATGGAAATACCATGTGTGCGCTCCAAATGACGCATGGTTGGATTCCGTCCTGATCTGACAACACCAATCATACCTTGATTATCGTCATGAAACAGGAGTTGAGGAAAAACTTTGGCTAAGACTTTCCACAGACTTAATGCGGGGATTCCTAGAGTCCTAAGTGCAGTATCTGCAGCCACAATTTCAGCTTCGGGGGTTGAATGACTAACACACCCTTGTCGCTTACTTCCACCAGCAAGTGGGAATCTTGTGAACTTACCTTGGACTTGTAAGTGCGATCCTGAAGTTGATCTCAAGGATTGGGCACATCCAGCGAAATCCGCATCTGCAAATAGTCCTAATGATAAATCTTCAATTTTGTCTCCGACCCATCCTATCATTTTGAGGGACAATGTGGAATTAACATAACACATTAGGTGATGAAGACGGGCGTCATCATCCTTCGTCCATTTAGTCACATTACGTGCTAATGCATTGATGGATCTCAACAGGTCAAACCGCGCAATGCGGGCTGCATAAAGCAGCTTCATAAGCACACTAGCTGCATGCGGAGCTAGATTCCCACGGCTCAGCGTCTCACTGTCTTGGCCAGGACATGAGTTGCCAGTCTCAGAGAGAGCAGGCATATCTGGATCGAAGGAATGTGCACACCAAGGACACTCAACTTTGCGTTTTCCATCGGAAGGAGCTCGATACGGGCTGCTTTTCGTTTCCTCTGGAAGGCTCGGCGTTGATACCTTTTTCAATTTTGTGTCCTTGCCAATGATGTCAAGATACTTTTCCACCGATAACTTTAACAATCCTTCCATGTTATAAGTTATGGTCTTGACTTTCTTACCGTTATGCAATTGGGTCTCACCTTGGGATAAAACACATCCTAAGTAAAGTCCCAGATCGGTTTCGGGTTCAATGCGCAGAACAGTGCGCAGCATATCCCAACCTTTGGCCAGATTTTCGGAGGGCCCAGCAAGCTTAAGGTCATCCACATAGATTACCAACAGCAATTTGAGCTCATCATGAAAATACATAGAAGGCCATTCCTCACCAATGGGCTTAAAACCAATTTCTTGAACTTTCTTGTCACAATGTTGTTCCCACATCGTGCCTGAATCAGGGTGTCCGTACAGGGCTTTGTCGAGTCTTACGACAGGGCGACGGAACTTCCAATACTGTATCTCCGGCGGCCATGCATCAGTGGGTAACTCCACCCAACACAAAGGTCCCTTCAACTTAGCCTGGATGTAAGCCTGAATCGCATCTGCCAACTTGACGGAGTGCCCAGGAAGACAACCGTAAAAATCTGCCCATCGTGAGGCTTCAAAGGAAGCAGGGGAATTTCCCAAGTCTTGGAAGAATGCTGCCTCCCAATGCTGATTCTTCACCTGATTTCCTAGCAGAACGCCTCTTCCCTTGAATTTTCGTCCAGGATTGTCTTCTGACAGCTGGTAGTTCTTCTCCACGCATATGCCATGGACCCTGGCCATGTGTACTTCCTTATTGTTCTTCTTGGCCTCTGCAACAACATCGTCGTATTCACGAACCATTGTAAAGTCAAATACCTCTTGATCACGAAGGCCTTTCCACTCCTTGAGCATTGCCTCTTTGGCCTTTGGGTTAGACTCAATCTCAGCTCTGCCCACAGGTCGTGAAACCATTGCATTGAAAAGTTTGCTTCCAAGACCTTCTGATGATATCTTGGTTCGGTGACTTTGATTTGATGCAGAAGTACACGGCATAGTTGGGAATGGAATGTATTCATCATCATCAGTGGCTACGTTCTTCACGTTCTTGACGTTAACACATTTGCCATTTTTGATCATTGTCGACTCTCCTGGCGTAGCCATGGAAAACCTCGAAATCTCACCTGACAATGTGCTCCAAACTTCACCACTCCACGATGCTTTTGGGCCACGTCCTTTCTCGACCTCCGACCATTCATCCCATTCAGTGAGATATTCCTCGTCGTCCGGGACGTCAGTAGAAGCATCGGAACATGGACTAGCATCAGCATTCCTCTTCACTTTTCGACAATCAATATATCGTCTTCCATGTACATCGTCATCATCGACTATGTCGTATAAGTCAAGATAAGTACTTGTACATGTGATAGGTAAGGTAATTTTGTTCTTCACAACTTCACCAACACCTGCATCGGATTTCTTTGACTTTGAATGAGAGTCATCCTTCTTACTTTCATCACCACCTTCATCGTCCTTGGACTTTGGCTCGTCCTTGTCTTTCTTTGAATCTTTCTTCTCCTTCTTCGTTGCCTTCTTCTTCTTTTCTTCGACCAATCTTTTGGCTTTGTCATCGGCCTCTTTCTTCTCCAACTTCTTCTTCTCGGCTTTGAGGATGGTATTCCGGTCAGATTGAGAGAGTTTGCGCCATTCTTCAGGAGAATAGGTTCCTTTGGGACGCAATGACGTCCTGAACATTCGTCTACCATCATCTCCAATCTTGTATGGGTAACCCTTGACGTTCAACTTGACCTTCTCACCATCGTCATTGAGGTATACCTTCCCATCTCCAGCTTTGCCCTTCTTCCAATGGTCTGGTTGGGCGTCGATCAATTCCTGGAGGGTCATCTCTTCTGGATCTTTGTCTTTGTCGAAGATATCCTCGGGGTCATCAAGAGGCTTCTTTGAGACTTTTCCACCACTTGGTCCCGGTCCACCGTCGTCTCCGTCATCAAGCTCATCATCATCTTCATCATGGTCATGTTCTTCGTCATCTCCATGAGGCACTTTGGAGGGATCGCCATCGAGGATTTCTCTTTCTTTCATCCCTTCCAATGTGGTGTTCACCCTCTCGTATTCCTGCTTGCATGGAAATGTCAATGGAGTGACCATCTCGACCTTTTCAGTCAAATGAGGTTTGAGAAGACGGTGTTCAGGTTTGCTAGCATCATCACCAAGATTTTGATGTACGAATTCACTCAGAGGCCATACTTTGTATTGTCTTGACCAATGCATCCCTGGACCAATGTGATACCCTGCAAACACTCCTGGAATAGAATCAGGCCCAAACTTGTGAAGTTGTCCCGCTTCTCTGGTCTTCGGAGGCTTGTAGTTCACACGAGCACCATAGGGAATGAGTTTGCCAGCAAATTCAGATCCATGGAGTTTGCACCAAGCGCTCAATTCATCATCGTTGCGCTCATTCATCATACACAAAGCATTGAGTTCATACACAAAGGATTGCTGTTCTCCAGAAACAAGGTGGTAATCCAGCTTCCAAAAGACATGTAGAAGTAGCTGTGAGAATAAATTGGTTCGTTCTTTCGGCAATTGAATTGGTTTGAGGTCTTCCAGGTAACGAATGATCAATTGGTATCTTCATCTCATTCATAGCTTCAATGAACTGAGGAGCATGATCAGAGTAGGCCTGTCTAACCTTCTTGGCACCGATGAACTGTTTCACTGCTCTAACTACATCGTCTTTGGTCATTCGATCAGATGGATAAGCACCAATGATTCCTGTATAACAGTCTCTGACAACCAACACTTCCTTCTCGAGGACCAACACGTCATCATGGACTTTGGATGTGTCCACCGCATCAAAGGTAATGAGGTCGCCAAACTTCTTGAGTTCCCTCTTGTATGCACCACGACGAGTCTTGAAATGCTTCATCTTTGCTCGAATGCATGAGTCGCAATATGGATTCTTGTATCTGTGGGTCAACTTGTGATTCAGGCTATTAGCTTCTCTCTTGAGTGTTCCTCTTTTGGCAACCCTAGATTCACCTTCAACAACATCGATCTCGATGTCATCTTCATCACCTTCAGCGGCATCTTCAGGAGCACCATGACCATCATCTTCAAAGTCAGTCTCGTCTCCAGGAGGCTCGTCAATCGGAGTTCCTGGTTCGTACTCGCCGCCCTCAGGTGGTTCTTCTTCTTCTTCTCCTGGGGTTGCTGAATGTTTCTGCCGGTTCATTGCTCTTTTCTTCTTCTTCACCTTGAGCTTCTTGACATATCGGGAACAGTTGTGATCCTCAGTTGATGTCTCAAGACCACTTTCTCCATCGAGATGTACTCTTCGTGAGGGTTGACCAACATCATCAATGTCGTTGAAATCATTGACTCCGATTTGAGGATGTATCAATAGGTCATGGATCTTTGATGCATGATGACATTCATGAGGAGTGCATTCGTAAGTTCCAAGATCAACGTAGGGGATGTTGTCATGGATTGTCAAATCGATGCGTTCTCCATTCTTCGTAATCATGAAAGGCATTTGACCAGATGGCCATACAAAGGAATATCCTTCTTCCATGCATCGTTTCCCAAGAGACATCACGGACGGAGTGTCGTCCAGTACATAGGCATGAGAGGTCACATCAAAGGTTCCCAGGTCAATCTCTGCTTCTGTCTGAGTAGCAGTTGAACCGTTGGCTGTGTGGAACATGATAGGATCACAAGTTCGCTGCTTCAAGTTCATCCTTTCGGCTTTCCTTGCAGAAATCAGATCATGCCCGCTGCCAGAATCCAGGATGAATCTACGATCTTTGGCTTGCACTGGTAGTGAAATGCACATTATGTTCTTGGACTTCATGAGGGAGTTTCCAACTTCGTGTTCAACAAGCTCTTCAATAAAAGTCAAGTCATCACGATCATTGTCCAGTTTGATCAACATGTCGAACTTGGGGCCAATAATGATTCTAACTTCATCAACAAAACGATGGAGTCCACATCTGTCCATGATGATAGCCTTGGCCCGTGCTCGGACTGAACCGAGGGTGTTGTCGGACTTGGACTGATCGTCGGTCAAATCATCGACTTTCCAGAAAACATATTGCTTGTTGGGGTCACGATACATACGTTTGGGTAGTCCCTCCTGGTAGTCCTCAATGGCGATCTCGTGCACCTCAGGTTCCAGATCAAATGAGATCCTGCGATCATCAGAAGACTTCTTTGCACTGGCTATCCTCGGTGAGGTATAATCCATGGAATCTTCATTGTCGCTATCAAAGAAGGAATCAATGGTAATGGGAGTCGCCTTCTTCTTTGGTGTCTTCTTGCTGGTTCTCTCTGAGGATGCTGAAGGCGATTTATCTGCATGTAGGAATTTACATTTGTTTCCGAACTTGCAGGTACCTTCTTGCCAATTCCAACATACCTTCTTTTTGGGTCCAGCTGAAGATGAACTTCCTCTACCTTTCCCTCTTGATGAATCTCGACTTCCGCTTCTGCCTTTCTTACCTTTCATCTTGGCATCATAGACCTTCTGAGAATGACTGTAAAGACATTTGTCACCTTTGTTGCATCCTCCTTTATTGAAGAAGTAGTTACAGAAAATCTTCTTCTTGTCAACGGGTGAAGATGATCTTCCCTTCCCACCTTTGCCTTTCTTGTTGTTCTTGTCGGCATGGGATTTCGGAGAAGGTGTAGGAAGTACCGATGCAGCTTCACTCTTCGCTTTCGCCTTAGGACGTTTGGGAGGATCACCTGTAGACGATGCAGCCGCTTCATTCTCCTTCTTGGTCTTGACGGGAGCGGCAGGCTTGTCTGCATCTTCTAAGGCAGGTGTCGTCTTGTTAGAGGACAATGACAGTTTCACTGCACGTTCTCTATCTTTCAACAGTCGTTCTTGCTTCCCTCGTGCTATGTATCCCTTGATCATACCAGTTAGGTAAGCATAGGTCTTCTCATGATGCCCTTCATCAAAGGTTTTGTATCGGTTGATATCGAAGGCCATAAGTTTTGAATGTTCAATCTTCCGGAACAATGTGTCACGCAGGGAATTGTTGGAAGGCAGATCATCATGTTTCATATTGTATACGATGTCAAGCCACTTGTTGTAGAAGGCCTCAAGTTGGTCATCTCCATAGTAGTTGAACATATACAAATGATGGGCATTGTAGAGAACTTCAGTGTGGTCAGGTGACTTGAAGCTAATCAATATCATTGCAAATAGTTCTCGTCCCTTGATGAAGTCCCCACTTCTCCCATACAATTGGTTCTTCATGGACATGTCATACTTCACTTGCATGGACTTGTCCCCAGCATTGTCAATGACTTTCCTCAAGGCATTGGAGAGCTTGGCATCAATGGATTGGAATCTCACATCAGGAGCTTTGGCCAGCGCCTCCAAGTCAGGTTGATCTGCAAGACACGGAGCTAACCACGCCTTCCAATCTTCATAGTTTCGATCTCCACTTGCAACGCAAACTTCATGAACGACACTTCCCTTCCAGGATGAAAGTTCAGTGGTCTTAGGCCAGGGTTGGAGGCTGATCTTTTCGGCTTCTCTTAGAGATACAGATGACTTGGATCTATCCCTTTCAAGGTTCTCCAACTCCTTGACATTTGTGTTGTACTCGTTCCTGAGCTTCTCGAAGGCTTCAGCTTCTGCTCGGTATTCCTGCTCTTCATCATTGGCACGATCTTCAGCTTGAGAGAAATTGTTCTTATAGTAATCTTTACGATCTTCCATCTTCTTCAACTCATCTTGAAGATTTCGAACTTCAGCGTTCCTCTCTTGCTTCATCTCGTCCAACTCTGCTTTCAGTTTGGCACACTTCTCTTCACATTCATTCCGAGGCATGGCATTACTGGGGTACCCATGTAATGTAGTCGGTCTATTCATTGATGAAGAAGAATGAGCTTGGTTTTCCAACTTCAGGGCAGCAATGGTGCTCGACATTTCTTCTACCTCAGCGTAACGCTCATTGGCCAATTGATGCATCTCGGTCAAATGGCTTTCAGGAATGGAATAGTCAGTCGCACCTTTGATTACGAGTCTTCTGTCGTTCAACATCTTGATGGATTTACCTGCATCCCTGTGAGCACGCTCAAGAGAGTCCTTTTGGGCTTCAAGTTCAGTATGAAGGCGAGCAATAGCTGTATCCCTGTCATTGAGTTCATTGTGCAAACTGTCAAACAAGGTACTCGTCACATTCGGATTGTTGCTCATGTGATCGATCTTGTTCAGAGCATCTTGATATTTCTTACCAGTTTCATCAAAGTTTCGCTGGAAGACTTTGAGCAGGTCCTCAGTGTCAATGAGTTCAGATCTATTCTGCAAGTACAACTTGTCAACTTCGGCCTTGGATTCTTTCAAGCTGTCACGTTCACGCACGGCTTGCATATACATCTCGTATAGAGGCCCTCCATGTGGTGATCTGCTTGGTGAAGATCTTCTGGCTTGTTGACAGGAAAGTTCATGATACTGATTCTTCGATTCAGTCAGTTGCTGTTGCATTCGATCTAAAAGACTTTGTTTCATGTGTAGTTCAGAACGTAGTCCCATTATCCTCATGTCCCGCATGCCACCTGATTCAGCTAGAGATTCTTCAGAAACCCTGTTCTCAGAAATCGCTAGTCGAGATTGTAAGTTCTCACTGTGGATCACCTGTAATCGAAGCTGTGATTCTTCCAAAGCTAAGTGATGTTCACATTCTGCATAACGGTCATGTTCAGATCTTATGTTACTACGGAACTCCTTCATGATCTCGTCCCTCTTCATGTCAGCAGCATCTAACTCAGTTTCCAGTCGCCTGACATTCATGGCCATGGTGTGTTTCATCGTCTGGTTCTGATTGGCAACCTCGAGCATCTCGATCTGCAAAGCACATGTTTGGTCATTAGCATAGCCGACTGCTAGAGCTTCTTGCTTGGCATTCATCTCTGCGTTTTCCAGTTCCAGTCTGAGTTGATTGATGTGAGCATTCGCGTCAGTTCCCACATGTACCATAATTGCGTTTGCTTGTCCCATTTGTTCATCGAATTCCGAACGTAGTCGTGAATATTTGAATTCCAAATGAGATGCAGCTTCATTCGACATAGTCTGATACCTTTCCAATTCTTCGATCCTGTAGGTCGCACCTTCATCTTCCTGTTGTGCAGCCTGTAACTCGAAGTTCAGCATCTGGAGTTGTTCGGTCATCGACATCATCTCTTGATGAGTGGTGCTTTCCAGGAAATTAAATTGTTGATAGGCATATGCTGTCGTCTCACTCAATCTTGCCTGAAGTACAGATTCTTCTTCAGTGGCCCTTTCCAGTGATGTTTTGTACTCAGTTAATTCACTCTGATAGGCAGTGAAGATGTCGCTACCACTTGACGGGGCATTCACTTGCTGATAAGATCCTGTCCCTGATGGAGTAGCGTCCTGAATCGGTGAAGGCGGATTCGACGACGTAGTCTTTGCCTTAGTCCTTGGAGTCATCGGAGGCGACAATTGTCGTGCAGATGATCTTCTCTTTCCAGGTGTGCTGTCCCTATCTTCAATTGCTTGCATTGTCGAAATTTGTCTCCCTCTAGGAGCAACCAGATGTCGCCTGGGTTGGCTTGTTCTCAGTTCTGAGGCATCGCTTCCACCAGTGTCGATACTCTGTGAAGAATTTGACTGCGTGCCGGCAGCTGGTGCAACGGCATGTCCAGAGAAAGAAAATGCATTATCGCTGCTATCCTGTTCAGTCATCTGTAAGGCCCGCGGCTCCCCGCTCGTAGGCTCCGTAGGAGTCCTACGGCTGATAACCTGCGAATCGGGGATTGCCTACCCGATTATGTTCCAATGGTTGATGTTGAGGATAAATGTTCCAGTTCGACGACGTCACACGGGCAGCTGCTTCCGCATTGCTGATCTTTTCTCCAGTGCTGCAGTGGGTCTTGAGCCAAAGAGGCCAGTTCGGATTGCCCCTTTGGTGCTGGATCACAGAGTGTTTAGTTGTGATATTATACTTGATCCGTAGCCTACACTCTATTCGCACTATATAAACAATATGCATTATGCATATATATATATATGTATGTATGTATGTATGTATGTATGTATGTACGCAAGATTATGTATAAGTAATATCTTTTCATAGTGTGTAAACAGTATATATATATGTAAATGTTTTAGGTCCATATGTATGTACATATTTGAATATTGGGCATATCTGGGCTGTGTGAAATGCGGACACAATATGACATAATACATTTATATGTACAAAAATTGAATATATCAAAAACACAAATAGATCCAATGATACTTTTGCAATAGAGACTCTATTGACTTAGTGATTTCGGGATGTATTCGAAACAGGGCTGCAACACGGTGCAAACAAGAAAAAACAAGTTTTGACCAGTCAACAATAGAGCTTTAACATGCGGGCTACCCTGGGTAAAATCACTAGGGTGACCCCCCAAAATAATTTTTCAGAATTATTCTGAGGTGCTTCAGTACATAACCCACTACAAAATATGTTTTCCAAAACGCTCTAACCATCCCAAAATAATATCCTTTATCACTACCCACCTCCTCAAAATAATTTCTGAAAATTTGCAAATAAATTATTTTGTAGGGTTCTACTATTACTCAAAACCACTTCCCTTAGTTCAAAATAATTTTGGAAATTATTTCAAGGTGGTTTAAGATGGTTTTGGATGATTGAAAAAACAAGTAGAACCACCTCAAAATAATTAGCAAAAATCCCCACAAAATTATTTTGGGGGGTCACCCTACCTATCCTCCCGAATGCACCCGACAAGCATTGTCGGAATTTCATGATTTAGACCATCGATTTTTGGACAAAGAAATCTGAATCGACCCCTTCCTACCCCATAAATTATTTTGGGGGTGGTTAACTACTAAACCACCCCAGAAATAATAATAGCCTAAACTGGCAAAATTAACTTCCCATTGAGTAGTTCAAAATCCAAATTGCCTCGAACAGACAAACCCTGAGATTTACCATGAATTACTTGCTGAACTAATTATTTTTAGAACATCGACTTAGCATCGGCTTTTGGGCAAAGAAACCTGAATCGATTCCTCTCTCCCCGAAAAATTATTTTGGGGGTGGTTAACTACTAGACCACCCCAGAAATCCAAAATAACCTAACCTTGCAAAACTCAACTTCCCTGGAATAGGTCAAAAATGCCAAACCTGATCCAAATTGACCCAAACTGTCTGAAAGAATCAAACCATGAGAACCTAATTATTTTGGGGGTGGTTAACTACTAAACCACCTATGATTTAGACCATCGATTTTTGGACAAAGAAATCTGAATCGACCCCTTCCTACCCCATAAATTATTTTGGGGGTGGTTAACTACTAAACCACCCCAGAAATAATAATAGCCTAAACTGGCAAAATTAACTTCCCATTGAGTAGTTCAAAATCCAAATTGCCTCGAACAGACAAACCCTGAGATTTACCATGAATTACTGGCTGAACTAATTATTTTTTAGAACATCGACTTAGCATCGGCTTTTGGGCAAAGAAACCTGAATCGATTCCTCTCTCCCCAAAAATTATTTTGGGGGTGGTTAACTACTAGACCACCCCAGAAATCCAAAAAAACCTAACCTTGCAAAACTCAACTTCCCTGGGATGTGTTGGGATTGACGGGATGTGGCTTGAATGAAGTTGGAAATGGCTGCAGATTGATTCAAAGAATATCCTGACTGAACATGTTGAAATATGTAGTTGAAATTTGATGTAATATGCTGAAATTATTTTGCAGGTGGTTTGCAAGTACCCCCACCCCATGAAATAATTTTCATCATGGGTGTCTGGTAATTATTTTATACAGTTGGAACTATATGAAATAATTTCCCCAGTTCAACTGAGAAATTATTTTGAGGTGCCTTAAGTTGTTTGTTTAAAATTATTTCAAGGTGCTTCAACCTCTGTAGGTGGAAAATTATTTTGCACCATCATCAAGGTACGGGTGCAAAAATTATTTTGCTATGGCTCTTGTCGGGTGATTTTAACATAAAATTTATGTTAAAAATGGAAATTATTAAAAAAAAAATATTTTGGAACCAACCCCCACCTCAAAATAATTTCCTAAGGTAGGACGCATGCTTTAACGGTTTAACACCCCAAAGTTTCGTGGCCCCAAGCTTGGTCACAAGCAGCCATATTTTTTGGTGGTCACCGACATTGCACTGAAAGCCTGTGTAGAATCATGAATCAAAAGACTTTCTGGTGACGTTGAGGGGTATTGTTACAAAACATTTGGAGGAAGAAATCAAAAGAAATCAAATACCTCTCAGTAATAAAGCCTATATCTCAATTTTTTTACGACTAATTACACATTTCTTTTGTGAACATGTATGTTTCACGTTGTTTGTTTCTGCGACCGAGAGAACTTCACCATACACAAAGGATGATCTATGGCAATCTATGGATGATCAGTTAAGCAAGGCTCACTCTACTCAACAAGTGCTCTACATGGTGCTGTCCCAGTTCGTAAAAACTAAGTCGGGTTATAACTCGTCTAACTAAGGATTAGAAAAGTTTATACCCTCTGGTAATTTAACATAGCTATGGAAAATCACCATTTTTAATGGGAAAATCCACTATAAATGGCCATGTTCAATAGCTATGTTAGTTTACCAGAGGGTAATGATTACAACTGCAGGTAGATGAGCTTGTGAAAGAACCTTGGATTCTTCACCACTGTGTCACCACCAACATTAAGTTGGGAACTGGTACCCCTCAAACAAAACAGCGAGAAATCGCTAGAAATATTATGACTGAAGCTATATACTTTACCAATAAAGGTTTACCAATATTTGAAGTCCAAAATCATCACAAATCCCAATGATTCTTGTCTGAATCATGTTCACGACCACCATTTCTGCAGGTGAATTTCAAAACCAACAATGAACCTTGTATTATACCTTATAGCATAATGTTGCGTGCAAATTCCCATTATAATCCCAATATGATTGATAGTGTGTAAGCGTGTACATATAAGTATGTTATTTGAACAATCAATTAGCCAACAATCAATTAGCTAAATAATTGGGTACTAGAGTAATTGGTTCACAAAAGCTGGTCAGAAAAAAAAAAAAAACACTAGCTAGCTATATAATGGTGACTTGCGGATACCCCACTTTAAGAAACCACCATTTGTTGCTGTAGAACCAACGAATCACTTCATGGAGCTCGCGCCTGCTTGTCTTGGTAATATTGATCCAGCAATTGCTGTATGAGCTCCTAGAGATTCGTCTGAAATGGAGATGGGGTTTGTCGAGTTACGAAGCACAGGGACACAACCCAACAAGAATGCAAATATCATCACGACTATATACAATTTACACAATCCTCATCATCTTGCACAATCTTGCACATGATTCTCGCATGATGTACCTATGTATATGTATATACAGTATCATGTACAGCCATCTACGTGTATAAATAGCACATTACAATCATATATTCACCAAATGACAATAACATCATCATCATCATCATCGCTCCGAGGCCAGAGGCTTCATCACTCCCTTATATTCATCAAACAATATGCTGCTCAACTCACCGTTTTGGGTGGACAGATTTTTTTTTAACGGATGTGCTTCCAACAACATGTCTCTTTGGAGTAATATGTATATGTATATGGGCCTATCATGCTCTATCATTAGTGGTCAAAATCATTTGACCATTGTTGGTAATCAAATATTGTGTTTTCTAAATGAGTATGATAAACGAATAATGATAAATCAACAGTCACACGTATTCTTTGGGTATTGTCACGTGTGGCCTTTTCAAGCTCCATGAGAGTTGGTTTTTGTACGGAACAAACCCACCAATCTGCTTATTCAAAGCGATCAAATTTCAATCCTGAGTTTATTAATAGGTATGTAGCCCAGATGCTCCATGTAAGGTATATTTACCTACATTTGGGTGATTTTCGGGGCAAATGGTGATACATATTCCATACATGGAGCATCTGGGTAGTAAGGTTTATGTCTATACAGACTTTAGATGAAGCATTTTATATTTCTAATAACTGCTTGATCAAGTAAAGGACCCGAGTAAAGACGCGCCTAAACAATGGAAACAAATCAGTAAAATTAAACCATCCATTGAAACCACTCCTGCAAGACTGTAAAGTTCAACCCGACCAAAATTCTGGGTGCACATCCTTTTGGGTTTAGTCAAACCGTGCCCAAAACCACTGTAGAGTCCAGAAATCTGTACAGGTTTGTTGGGGCTCCAAAACGCAACAAGAAGCCGCGGCTGGCCTTATCTTCTGGACTGAGGCAAAGGTCATAGTTTTGACCTGAAAGAGATGAGAAACTTGATCATAGCTCTCCATGGGTTTCCTGTTCGGAACATGAAATTCTGGTTCATGTCTATGTCTATTTACTCTGGTTGACGGTTTCCCACATAAGAAATGGTGTGTGGTAGCTCCAATTCCATCACCAATACCACACATTCCATGTGATTTGTTTACACTCTTATGACCTCTGCTGGGTGATGTTAAGTCGAATTAATGCCATACATGGGTCATGTCCTACCAACCCTTTGAACCCTTAGCAACACGATTCGTTGCGGGTCATGCCAAATCCCCAGTCCGGGCCATGAAAAATGGCTTCGCGGCTTGGGGGTTGATCCCCTATTGTCAAACAAACCCCAGTTAATGTCAATGAATATCATATGTGTCACTTAATATTGCGACATTATATGCTATGCTATCCTATGAACAATCCCCATTGCTGGTATATATTTTCAAAAATACCCACTTGACTTAGACAGACCCATTCTGGTTTGTCTGAAATAAGGCACCATAAGGCACCTTAAGACCTGATGGTTGACAGTTATATTCCGGGTTCAGAGTTCAGAGCCAAATATTCAGAGTTTGTTCCTTAAAACCCCGATGTTGTGCAAAATTCTATCCCATACAAACCCTGTTAATGGTATTCTAATGCTATCAACTATTTGTATAACATAAATTCATATGAGTTATATTGAATTATGTATGTCTATCCGATTAAAACACATGCCCATTTTCTGAGTTCAATATGGGATAGTTTCCAACGGATCGCTGGCGCTGCAGCAACAGCAGTGGCAATCAGGGCCGAGCTGTACAAGACCCAATGCAAAGCTGGTTGGTAGTTGAGCTGTGACCAAAAACATCCTGTGACCCTCTGGTACACCAACATAGCCATGGAAAATTGCCTATTTATATGTAGATATATGTAGATGATTTACTGTGGTTTCCATAGCTGTGTTAAATTTCACAGGGTAAGCGCAATATCCATTGGCTCAAGCCCCAAAAATGTACAGAAAGAATCCTCCAGAAAGAGGATCACTCCACCTGAATTATGGATGTCGATGGATGCCAATGTCCCAGGTTGTGATGGACGATCGAAATCACAGAAAATAAAACTACCAACCAGCAAAATCAGGAGACACAGCTTCTGCAACAGCTATGTGCCTCTATGATTTTGTGGCTCTTTCCATTCCAACCGCTTTTTACAGGTGGTTTTGTGGCTCTAATTGACATGTTTAAGCCACACACCCACGCGATACTCACTACTGCATCGAGGCTCGGCCTTGTTTTCCTTCGCCTTGGGATGCTTGAAGGCCGTGTGGAAGACGGTCCGGAGCTGGTACGGAGCAGCGACAGTTCGGTCAAAGTGGAACTGACGAAAGACCAAAACCTGCACAGGTGAAAGCTACATCAGGATGCGGCCCCTGTTTTTCGCTCAGTTTTTGGCATTGAGCCGCTTCACTGATGTTTGCATACCATGAACCATTAATTACAGGGGTGAAAATTACATCTTAATATCTATAAATCTATAAATCTAAACCAGCAAACACCACTGGGGGGAGCACCACCTTGCACGTGAGATAAGCGCCAAAAAATCAGTTCTCTGTAGAAGATCCACCTGTTGAGCCACCTCTCTGAAAAATGATGGAGTTCATCAAGTTGGGATGATGACATTCCCAACTGAATGGGAAGTCATTCAAAATTCCATGGTTCCAGTCACCACCAACCAGATATATTAATCATTGATTATCATATATTATCATTATCAACCAGTATTAACTACTATTAACCACTATTAACCACTATTAATGGTTGATTAATCCCACCTCGTCTTTGGTCATTTCAGGATAATAGTACCATTTCTGCTCCGTGCTGAACTTCACCATCAAACTCTTCTGACCTCACGCCGGCTTGCTGGCAGAAGTGCCGTCCCCATAGTCCAATACGGCACTCAAAAGGAAGTTTCATGGAGGAAACTCCGAGTTACGGACTTTCACATTAGCGTTACACTTCTTAAACCTGGAAACTTCCGCCACCCGCCCAAGGCGCGGGTTCTACTTGTATTTTGAAAGAGGAATTTAAGGAGGATTCAGGGGCCTACAAGGTCCGATTGTTATGGATTGTTTGGTTATGAGTTATGGGCCGAAAATGTGCAACCTGTTGTTTTTGGGATCGTTTTTCCCTGATGCTATAAAAACTGGCTTTGGAAATCCTGTACCCCTAAATCCGTTCGTAAAACAATATACAAAAAGTTGATAGACAATCCCACATCCCATTATGATTCCATCATATTTCAACCATCATTTTACGAGTAAAAAATATCAATTTCTACCCCCATATACCCCCATATTTTGATGGTTAAAACATGTTTAAATAACCCAATGACGATGGTTAAATCATCAACCAACTAATCAAGAAGGATTTAGCAGCTGTTATTACTACTGTAGCCATTATCAACGATCATCAACCGTAATTGCTAGCCACTATCAACCAACATTCGCCAACTTTGAAACACTGCTATTCACAGTGTATTCAACTCATTCATCAACTAATTTAAACACGATTCATCAACATTATCATCTATTGACCAACATTATTATCATCTATTAACCAACATTATTATCATCTATCAACCAACATTTAATTCACATCATCAACCTTAACATCAGTTAACATACATTAACCAACATCATTTATCATCTATTTATAACCAACATTATTAACATCTACATTAACCATGAAATTTCAGCCCCGGCCTCCTTTCACAAAGCCCATGGTCGTATTTCGAACGACGTCGTCCAGCTGCACTGTGTTGGGGTCGCACAAGGCCAAAGGCGTATCCTTCACAGGGCCTTCCATCGGTAGGATCGGACGCCTGCAGCAACGGCAAAGGATGTGGGTGGTACCTATGACAAATGCTCGTTGAATAGATGTTGAATATATATATATATATATATATATATATATATGTATATGTATATGTATATTGATTTTTGACCTAGACCCACCGAAAAGTTGGGATTCCACTATGAAAACTGTAGATTTAAGGAGAGCTATTCATCAACAATCGAAATTTAACTGATTTACTTCCGATGATCTTTTTTATTGTCTAGCCATCAGAAATGGTTGTTTAACATTGTTTCAACCTGAAATGACGATTCTTACATTCTGGGAATGGAATTAGAATATGTCACAGCCAATCCTACCCTTCAAGAAAGAACAGTACAGTAGCTTGTAAACATCTTCACTTATAGCTAAACCAAATGACATACTGTGAAATCTACATGCCCTTTTGTGTTTGTTGATCTCCTGGTGAAAATTGTCATGTTCAAAGTTGTTGTTGCTAAACACCGTATCTGCACGGAAAGAATCACATGGCTAAAGATGACCAACAATTATATAATTATATAATGATTCCGTATGACAAGCGTCTGTCTGAAAATGTGGCATAGCCCATCTGGCCATTCTAGTAGGGAAAATCAGTATCAACCCTAAGATTTTCAGATACCCCACAGCTTCTCACATCTCTGGGAAATGTTCTTTGGAGGAAAAAAAAGTTCACCTTCAGCAAAGCCATGACACCAGAAGTTGATGATCGAATAGCCACCAGAAGTCTGCAAACGTCTCATCCAATCCTCGTAACCTGGAATTGGGTGCAACTTCACCACTCACAAAAGAACATTCTGATTTATTGCATCCCAGTATTGGTCAAATTTGAAGCTGATAAAACCACTCAGATATGAGCCGTCCCTTAGTTCGAAGCAATGCAAAAAAAAAAGCAAGCCGGGGATGAATAACACTCCAAGATGTGGAGCCATCTCAAGCCTGCAACTGGTGTCGTTTGATTTTTTTCAACTTGGTGGCATGATTATGCTCTCATTGTTTGGAAAGTGTTTTTTCGGGGTCAGTGGACCTTTTCACTTGCCGGGCTTTGACTCCTTGACTGCCCAAAGATGGCTACAACTGTAAAGTACATGTCATGTTGTTCTTCTACAGGTTGAGCCCTAACTGAGTTATAATCTCATTTACGTGATATGTTTCACCAACCAGTTGCAGGAGCTAAAATCGTCCCATGGCTAAAACTGCAAACATGGATCAACATGAGCCTGATAACTGTCAAGAAATGCCCAGAAACTGTTTTCCGAAGACATGAAAGAGGTCTCCATGTCTTCTGGGTACAGCCCAAAATCTTGGTGAATTCCCAAGCCGTAGAAGGGATTGGGTCCATTCGGGCCTCTCCTCAAAGCGTTGCTTGGTAGGAAAACCTCCTCCACTGGCATCAGCTCCCGTAGCAGCGGCTCCACTTCTTTGGAATAGATCGCACCTGAGTTGGCTGAGTCGGCCAACAAGCAAAAAATGGTTGATCTCATAGTAACCCATAATGAAGACAGAAAAGTCATTCACCATGATTTTAGTGATAGTGTACCATTCTATGTGTTTTTGGGGGTTGAAATTCACTACTATGCAAATCAATATGTTTTTTGCTCGCCTACATTTTATTCCCCGGGTGTAATACAAGAAAAACATGGATGCTCTTGGCCACGAGAACCTTGCAAGCTCTTTTCATTTTGGCTGGATACCATCTATTCCCCCTTTCATGGCAAATAACTGACCTATTATCTAATTACAAAAGAAAGGCTTGCCGAAAAAGGTGCGTTTTTTTTCTTGGGAGTGAAGCATATCCTCTCAAAAAGGGAAATCAAACAGTAAAAACAAACAGCAAATAATCCAGGACGGCAATGGCAACCCATTGGATACCCAGTTATATCCCAGTCTACGAATCAGTTTACCAGTCCCATGGCCCATCTGAGTAGCCCCCGCAAAAATGGTACAAGCAGGTCTTGATCCATCCCTTATCCACTGCATGCGCCCTTCGAAGCTGCGCTGAGGTCCCAAAATACGGTTGATGATTGGGGGAGAAAACACAGCCCCAGTTTAGCCTGCTTTGTGTAGCTGTTTGTGGGAGTACTCTCAGCTAATTTTATATAGCTATGGAAAATCACCATGTTTAATAGGTAATCATCTACAAATGGGCAATTTTCCATAGCAAACTGTTTTTCACATGAGGCACCAACGGGTGTGTTCTGACCGGCTATGAGTCTCTTTCCTGCAGGGCTCGGGGCGTGGGAAGATTTGAACCAATCCTCCGCTGTCATTTTTGTCTTGTGCTGCAGCAGCACAAAACCATACTTCTGGAAGAATTCTGAGTTGCTGAGCCCCTCCTGCTTCTGTTTCCTTGGTGCAATGTGGATTTGAAATTACAACCCTGAAGTTTTGATGGGATAAATATATATATATATTCATTGATAGTGTGTGGTAAATCAATGAAATCACCCAAAAGTTGAACATCTCAATAAAGTTGAACATCTCAATCCAGTCTCTCACGTGCGTCCAGCACCTGCACGTCTTTCTGAGTCTGCTTGGTGAAGTTCTTGAAGGTGGTTAAGCAATTCTTCGAGCATGGTGGTAGGCAAAAGTACTTGAAGACACCCCAACAACCACCTACAGGGAACTATTCAAATCATATTTTTAGTGTATGTATGTATGTGTACATATGTGTATGTGTGTATATATATATATATATATGCACACATATGTATGTATATTGTATATACACTGTTACTGTCTAATTATTGTCAAAAAAAGGAACCAGAGCATACACCATATTTCGCACACAGTATTTATATATATATATATATGTATGTAACATATCTATAAATGCTATATTAGGAAAATATGTAAGATGTACAATGTTAAACAATACACACAGCATATTATATATAGTGGTAGGTAAAAATATGTATATATATAATATGTAAACATTATACTTTAATAAATCAACACATATCATATATATAGTATATGCAATAACATATGTGTATGTTATACAGTATTGGAAACAATATATTTTGATACACCATATTACTAATGAATAAATATATATATATACTATTATATATCTCCAATATAGCATAAACAATGCAATATGTGTAATGTATAATGTAGAAAAAGAAAAAAACAACAACATACATAATATTTGACATATAACCTGAATAAATATTGCAAAATATACTTAGGTATAATATATATATATGTGTATGTGTACATGTATTAAATCCATATATATATATATAATTCAGTGTTACTGGTGATGTTTATTTTTGTTCATGTAGTATATTAAGATATCATATACATACATAAAGGTAAGACAAAATAATAAATATATGTGTACATATATGCAGTATACACAAAAAATGACTGTATGTATGTATGTATGTATGTCTGCCTATATGTATGTATGTCTGCATGCATGCTTGCATGCATGCGTAGATGGATGGATGGATGGATGCATGTATGCATGTATGTATGTATGTATGCATGTATGTATGTATGTATGTATGTGTGTGTGTGTCTGTATGCATGCAAACATGCATAGATACATGTATGATCATGTATGCATGTTTGCCTGTACGCATATATGCATGTATGCATATATGCATGTATGCATGTAAGCATGTATGTATGGATGTATGTATGCATGTGTGCATGAATGTATGGATGTATGTATGCATGTATGCATGCATGAATGCATGTATACATATTATGTGTTGTCCAATTGAAACATCCAAGCGCTGATATCTTCTTAGAAAGAGCAACAGGTAAAACAGGTTCAAATTGAAACGTTTGCACTATCTACCAACATTGGCCAGATAAATGGATCAGAGAGTAGACATAAAACATCATTACCCCACAAAATGTAAGTCAGACTAAGGAACATGATCATCTGTAGGGGTACCCTTTTTTGGGGCAAGATCCCTGTAGCATTCAGCCATCTAAAGATCATGCAAGTCTATGCAATGACACAACGATCCCTCGATCCATACAAGACAGGATACATATACTGGTTGGTGGTTGAGCCACCCGTTCGTCAGTTGGGATGATGAATTTCCCAATATATGGAAAGTCATAAAATTCATGTTCCAGTCACCACCAACCAGTATATCTACAGTTAAGACAGTTAAGATGGCTGATAAACAAATTTCCAAGGTGGAGGCCCTTCACCCATAAATCGTAGAACAAATGTCCAACACATTTCCAATCACCATATGCTCCATGGTGCTTGTATATTTACCTACAATTGGGTGATTTTTAGGACACATGTTGGTAATATTCCATACATGGAGCATATGGGATCACCAATAAACACCAATTTCACCATGAACTTCACCAGGATCAATTTTCCAATACCGCCCATACCTGTGAACATCGAGAAATCGTAGAAGGGTTCCGGGTAAGCCTCCACATCCTTTCGGAAGAACCCCGTCAACGTCACATTGATCGCCATGGCTGTCACGATCGCCAGGCCAGCGGCGTTCTTTTTGCGACGGTCAAACAGATTGAAAGAGGTTTCAAGTGATCTTCGATTATGTTCTATATATGTTCTATATATGGACTATATATGTTTTACATATATGTTCTATTCTGTTCTAATGTTAACATTTAAACGAGGGGTTATTAATCCAAAGAATTCTAATGATCACATCTGAGATGCTTGATCAAACTTGAACTCACTTTAGCTCTGCCTAGATATCGCATGTGAAGAACGTATTCCATGCAAGTTCCATACAAACCACGAGAGTGGCTGAGCAGGCCCAATAGCCCTAGCGGAGACACGGTATTCGATTCTAAGAAAACACCCTGCCACCAGTTCTCAAAACCTCAAATCCTCAAGCATGAATTTAAAGATTGAATGAATCCCCATGTATTTGGACAACTTGTGTAGTTCACAAATCAAGCATGTACGCGTACCATAATGGGGTGGGTTCCCAAACATCAACCATGATTGATGAGTTTTTGGTCTCCAAAGGTTTCAGTGGCTTCATCTATCGTTGCTCTCATCCTGGGATATTCCCACAATCGAACAACCCATTGCCAGGTACGTGATGGGAAATTCCAAAAGGAGAGGTTTAACATTATTTTCTTTCATCATCAAAGATGATAACTGGTTGGTGGTTTCAACCCCGCCGAAAAATATTAGTCAGTTGGGATTATTATTCCCAATATATGGAAAAACAAATGTTCCAAACCACCAACCAGATATCAGATATGGAATTACGCCCACCACATTTCTCGCTGTTGACACTATGGAAATCTATGGAATTCCCCGACTTTCATGTGGAAAAAAGGCTGCCACCTTCATCTGCAATGGCTCTTTCATCGATGTTCACCAGGAAATGTCTGAATATATTCACCCCATCACCAAATCATAAAGGGTATTTTTCTTGCTATGTTTGGCAGCCCCAGCTTTTTGAAGTGGGGGTGACAGTTATGGCTACTGCTATCATTGGTTGGGATTCTAAGAGTTTCAAACCCTCCAGAAGTTGGGGGGAACTGGACCCCCTCCGCCGCGGAAAGAAGCGCTGGCTGAGGGGGTGACACACATTGCCCGCCAGGGAGTTGCCCAGAAAATCCACCCGCACCTGGGCGCCATGGCTAGCAGGGCTATGTGATTCAAACCTCCAACTGAAAATAGCTCATTGCATAGGATCACCTCAACAAGGGCGCCATTTCAGGGGGTATACTTCATGAAAATGACCCTTCTTCGAACTCAAAACCTATCACATCAACATTTCAGGTGATGCTTATCCCTTAAAAACAGGAACTTTCTGGGGACGAAGTGCCAACATCTAAGCTTCCGACCCCAATGGTCTCACCGAAGCGTGTCAACATGGTTTTGGCCTGGCGATTCAACCTGCCCTGGGGAAGGCACAGTTACAACCTGAGCCTCTAGAAGTTGGATTCTAAGCTTATCAAAAGTTTCGTTCATCCAAAAATAGACCCTGTAGTCCATCTGGTTGTTTTGGTTAGTGAAGAAAATGGTGAACAGAATCCAATTTATCGTTTATAACCCTAGTTGCAGGAGTTATAAACCTATTTATACTTCTTAAAGGCCATAGCTGTATGTTTTGTCGCGCCATCCATCCCCTGATACCAAACCACTAATGGCTACTAAAAAAATCCTATGAAAATGGATTGATGACCATCACCCCCCAAATTCTGGGCAATTTCGATCCAACATTGACCTTGTCAATGGTTATCCCATATACAATGGCCTATGGCACCTAAGGTTATCCCATCAATGGGCCATGGGGTTTCCAACCCGCTTACCAAAACCAGTCGTTAATTCCTATGGTCCTAAGAATTAAATAGTAGCATATAAGGCTGAAGAGGGTGAATCATGTGGATGTGACCAGCAATATGTGTACATATATATATATATATACCCTCCGAGCTTGCGTCAAAAGGCCATTGCGGGATGGATTTCTAGCAGGTCATCACAACTACTTCCTAAATACGATCACTGAAGAACCAATGCCAAAACCAAAGAATTGAGCTGAAAAGGTATCTGCCGAGTCTGCCTGATGCACTGTTGCAAGTCTTGACGGTGCAAGTGCATCTCAACTGCATAGTATGCCATGGCACGAAGCAATCTGCTTTGGCAACAACGCCAAAAACTAAGAATGATGGTTGCAACCTATTGGCATCTGGAAGTAATCAACACGCTGCTGGAAAAGGAACATCTACACATTGACTGAGAAGTAACGCTGTCCAGACACTTCGTCCACCACATCGCCTCCAAAATAGTTCCATCTCATTCGATGGTAAACAAACATAGCTATTGAAAATGGTCATTTATAGTGGATTTACCCATTACACATGGTGATTTTCCATAGTGATGTTAGTTTACCAGAGGGTAATATATATATATATCTATCTACCTATTGTATTTCCAAAACATTCCCATAGTATATTCTGTAAGGGACATCGCGGAATAATCAGGGAATTGCAAATATGCTTTGTGTGTGAGATTCCCACATGATATTTTCCAAAGTTGGATGTTGCAAATAAATGTTAGGGAATATTGCGATGGCTACCAATGTGTTGATGGCAAATTATACATATGTTAACATCTACATATATATATGTACACATCATATCCCGCTAACATCCATTACGTGTAAATTCCTGTCATATTCCCATGAAATCCCATTTGACAATCCCCACATAATATTATGTGTATATATACATATATGTACATATAATATCGATCAACACACATATAGATAGATATTATCATTATTCCCCACCTGCCAGGTGAGGGTTGTTAGATTTTATCAGAGCTGTTCTCCTCCCCCTCCTCCTCCTCCTCCCCGGCTAGCTGTCCTCCTCCTCCTCCTCCTCCTCCTTGTCCTCCTCCTCCTCCCCCTCTAGTTTCTCCTCGACCATGTCTGCATCAACTTCACCCTCCACTTCCGCCTTGCCAACTCTTCGCCAAGCTCTTTGCCAACTCTCTTCGCCAACTTCCCAGCTCAGTGTGCACTGGGACCTCAAGCTCAGTGTGCACCGCTGGACCTCAACCAGGGACCGTCTCAGCTCAGTGTGCACCGCTGGACCTCAACCTGGGACCTGCCCAGCCCAGTGTGCACCGCTGGACCTCAACCTGGGATTTGCCCAGCGCAGTGTGCACCGCTGGACCTCAACCGGGGACCTCCCCAGCTCAGTGTGCACTGCTGGACCTCAACGGGCAGATAGAATGCCAGAAGATATGCCAGATAGAATGTCAGATGGAATGCCAGAAGATATGCCAGATGAAATTCCATGAGATATGCCAAATAGAATGCCAGAAGATATGCCAGATAGAATGCCAGAAGATATACCAGATAGAATGCCAGAAGATATGCCAGATAGAATGCGAGAAGGTATGCCAAATAGAATGCCAGATAAAATATTAGATAGACTGCCACAAGATATGCCAGATAGAATCCCAGAAGATTTATCTGATAATATGCCAGAAGATATGCCAGATAGAATGCCAGATAGAATGCCAGAAGATATGCCAGAACATCTGCCAGAAGATATGCCAGATAGAATGCCAGAAGACATGCCAGAAGATTTACCAGAATATATGCCAGATAGAATGCCGGATCGAATGCCAGAAGATATGTCAGATAGTCACAGATAGAATGCCAGAAGATTTGCCAGTAACAAATCGATAAATGTCATGGTGGGGATCACTCGAAGTAAAGTAATTATTAACACTATTTTTTCTATTACCAGTAGTACCGCGCAAGGCGGTGGCGGAAGTTTCAAGAATAGGAAACCTATAGGAGCGGTTGGTTGTTGTGAATCACGGATGGCAGAAGAGAAGCCACTGATGGACCGAAAGGTGCTTGAGGTCTCCTCTCTTTCTCTCTTTCTCTGACTATCTACCTACCTACCTACCTACCTATCTATCTATGTATCTATCTACCTATCCATCGATCCATCGATCCATCGATCTATCGATCTATCGATCTATCAATCGATCGATCTATTTATCTATCTATCTATCTATCTATTTATCTATCTATCTATCTATCTATCTTTACTACCTGTGTTCGCACCTGGATCTTCTTTTTTCTGAGACTTTCTCTTTTTTGATCTATATATATATATAATTCTATATATGTATAAATATGAATGTATGTACATGTACATATGTATATATAGATATATATATATATACACACAAATCCAGCCCAAGCGACTATATTCCCATACAATTGTGGCCCTTCACAGCTATGGCCATGGGATGAAATGACTCCTGCAAGTAGTTGGTGAAACATCTCACTTACATGAAGGTTTCAAAGCCAGTTAAAACTGTTGCAGGTGATTAGCATCCTGCAACACTTAAGTGATATATAAACTGTTAAGGTTGCGAGGTTATTAAGCCTAATGTTTTAACTCCTACCACTAGGGGTATAAGTTGGTTTATGAACCCCGTTAACATCCATCAACTAGTTCGTTGTGAGTATCATAACAATGTAGTTTTTGGAGTGATAAACCATACAATCATGATCACTCTTTCATAGTCCACAAAAGAAATCCTTTGCTGGTTATGGTTATGTTCAATTTATCGCCAGAAAAAAAGAACGGCGGTCCAACTACCCATCCAAGGTTGAAACCATAGTTTTCGGAGTTCTTGGAGTTATAAACACTACTTATAATCATAATGGTATATTCTAGTGTATGAGAGCTTATAATAGTATATAATGGCAAACAAATAGTATATATAATCCCTTCCTCCTAATACTAAACCTCCCCCTAATACTAAAAACCGGCGTCCATCTCCAGTTTCGGAAAATTTCAGTTTGGGCAATTTGACTTTTAATTGATCCCCTTTAGAAAACAATTTAAAAATCAACCTACCATTTGTGGGTTTTCCCCCCCTAATACTAAAAACTAGTTCACCCCGGGGTGTTTAGTATTAGGGTCCGTCCGATTTTTTTATTTTTTTATATAAAGGATTTTAATTTAGTATTAGGGGGAAGCTTCGAAATCCGATTTTGGGCAATATTTTTTTTATGTTATATAAAGAAATTGAATTGATTTTGAGGTCGGAAAAAATAGTTTTTATTATCAAAGGTTTTAATTTAGTACTAGGGGGAAGCTTTGAAATCCAATTTTTGGCAAAATTTTAATCGCGTTGTATAAAGAAATTTAATTGATTTTGAGATCGGAAAAATAGTTTTTATTATTAAGGGTTTAATATTATCAATAGGGTTCCCTAATACTAAATACCACCCTAATACTAAAAACTACCTGCCGTGTTTAGTAATAGGGGGGGGACGTTTAGTATTAGGAGGAAGGGATTATAAGATTCTAAACAGGTTATAAACCTATAAGATTATAACACACTTATAAATAGTCACCATATGCTTCTTGGAGTTGTAAACCACGTACGGTATCGTACGGTATCACCTACCGCCCACCTCGCCGGCCAGCGCTGTATGCGCGTCCACCTGCCAGACCCGCAGGCCGCGGCCACGGGAAGCGTCCGAGGGCCTGGCTGCCATGAATGGATGAAAAATCTGTGGGTAAACTATCTGGGTAAATTTGGAATAAAGCTATTTGACATAAAGCTAGTTTGGGATGATTCCCCTTATTATCCATGATTCCAATGAGGGAGAACAGTGAGGTCGTGAGAAAAGAATCCCTGGACTATAGGGTAAATGAGTTTAGAATGATGTATAAAATAAATTCGGATGGCTAACAGTTATGTCGTATGGGTTGATAAGGATGTATCACCTTAGATATAGGAGTTATATGTCCATGGCCATAACTGTTAATGGCCATACCTGTGGTGAATCTCTGGTGAAAAACCGTTTGGAATCTAGGGTAAGAAACAGAGAATCTATCGTAAACAATCTGGGAATCTATGGAAAACGTTGGGTAAAACATATGGCAAAACATGATAGAACATATGATAAAAGATGGTAATTCGTTAAACAAATCTGAAAACTGCGTTTGCTGTTTGCGGCACCACACCTTGGTGTCTTAAGAGCTTCGGAAGTGCCAAACCTTGGCATGTCACTGGGATACTTCTGGGATATATCATTCTATTTCCCAAAGGAACAGTCTATGGAACCACTATGGGATAACTGTATATATTATATGTGTAAAGGATTAGTGGGATATAGAATTGAAATTATGGGATGATATTGGGATAAGTCTGGTAAACCATTGGAGAATCATAATGGAACCATTCCCAAATTAGATCCACTGATGATATCATAATTACAAAAAAAAAGGATCCAAACAAACATGTAACAGTCACGACAACTTTTTCTGGAGGGAGTCGGGGAGCCCATCTGAATCCGTATGCATAAATGCATTGTTAATCCCATCCTTGGATAATATTATGTAAATAGAGGCAAGTTTCCGCACATTGAAGTGTTGAAGTGAATTAATACATTAAACAAAGGTTTCGTTTAGGCGCAATGTCACGAGGAAGGAAGATGATTAGTATATTCAACACACATTTTGGCTGCTGCTCATGTAGCTACGGGTCAAAAGCTGGGTAAAAGCTGGGTACACCCTAAAACAGGAATGAGTCTAATAACCACCCAAAAAAGAAAGAAAAACGTCATTGATGATGATTTCACTTTCCTACCTTCCTGCGAGTTGCTACTGAAACAAAAAACAACACGTGCTCTTTCCTGGGTTTGAGAAATTTGGCCCCCCCATGCCCAAGTTGTCCCAAGTGCGGGACCATCGACTTTGCGATCTCAAGAAGTGGGGGCCTTCCTCACCTGACATGGCAGGGATTCAACAAGGGGTACACCACCACGAGTGGGGAGATGGGATGGCAATGATTGGGAAAGCGCCTGATCAATCGACATATGTCTGTCTGTACGTGATGTCATGTACTGTACTGCAGTATCAAGTAATGCAATATAATTTATGTCATGATCTGCTATCTTATGTTACGTATACACATAATACATATGTAATCATATATATACACATTATCTCATGGTCAACATGCAATATGCAATTGCAGAAGTTGCATGTAGTTACACATTCTGGGTTTGTTCTACACCCAAATCTATGGGTTTGCCTCAAGTCTTGGAACCTCCAGATGCTATAGTTTATCATCACTTTCCCTATCAGAAAATCCATATTGAAGTATATATCCCATGTTTTTCGACATAACTCCACACCTGATTCATGTCTCATATATTTGGGGTGAAACCATGGCTTAAACCCTAAATATGCCCCTAAACCAATCCATTGATGATGATTCCCAAGATAAGACAAATTACTATATTTCCAAAACCACCAGAATAAGTTTGGGGATGGTTTCCCTTGCCAACCATCAAAAATATGTATGTATAGAAAAATACATATATATATATATATACGGGCTCCTTGAGTTACAAGTTGGTTTATCAACCAACTGCTCTAGTTCAATATATCTACCATAATAATCAAAGTAAAACATTGTAAAACTAATTAAACTCATGATGTAACCCATTTAGCTATCGTTTGGAAATGTCAATGAACACATGATTTTCCACTGGATCACTATATCCACATAATATCCCTGCACTATGCATAAATACTGTGTAAGTACCCCAGCATATCCATCTTATTCCATATGAAGGTTGGTCAACCCGCTATAAACAGCCATCCGCCACGACGCCGTGGTGCCACGCCTGGCCGCCGTGCTGCGCGCCGGAGGAGGTCCAACTGCTGCCCCACCACCAAACGTTGAGACACCTCGGGGATGCCGACTTTTGGAGGAAACAACTACTTGGCGGCTTTTCTCACCAAGTAAAAGGGTTTAACCCTAGTTACAAATGGATCAACCCAACTTGTCCCACTTTCCAGGGTGTAACATGATACAACCTACTTCCTGATTTATCTACAATGTGGAAACCCCAGTTGCCAGTCGCTTTATAAGCCCCGTGAACAAATAAGTATCATAAACACACCATAAATATTGGAGTTATCCCATAAGCATCCCAATGATTATCCCAACGATTATCCCATACAAGGTGGCCCCCACTATGATGTTGGTTGCTTTGCCTTCACCTCATGAAAACGAAGAAGTATCATGAACCACAACTGTGGGAGTTTTCTAAAACAGGCCATATCAATATCTTTGTTTTTTTGAAGCCAGGGATTTTCATGGCGAAAAAATACTTGGGATAAGCTCCAAGAGTTGGGATATAAACCCTACAACTTTCGTCCATGAGTTTTTTCCCCACCTGCCAGGTGAGGGTTGGTAGATTTTATCAGAGATGTTCTCCTCCTCCTTCTCCTCGTCCTCCTCCTCCGCCTCCTCCTCTTCCTCCTTCTCCAGTTTCTCCTCGACCATGTCTTCATCAACTTCCACGTCCACTTCCGCCTTGCCAACTCGTCGCCAGTCTCTTCGGCCAACTTCCGCGCGCAGTGGGCACTGCTGGACCTCAACTGCCGGCTGCCGATCTGAGTGGGCACGGCTGGACCTCAACCGCAAGGTTCCGAGCGCAGTGGGCACCGCTGGACCTCAACCAGGGACCTTCCGAGCCCAGTGGGCACCACTGGACCTCAACCTGAGACCTTCAGAGCTCAGTGGGCACCACTGGACCTCAACCTGGGACCTTCCGAGCTCAGTGGGCACCGCTGGACCTCAACGGCCAGATAGAATGCCAGAAGATATGCCAGATACGAAGTAGAATGTCAGATAGAATGTCAGATAGAATGTCAGATAGAACGCCAGAATGTCCCAAAACATAATGCAGCTATTCTTACTATTGATTACTATTATTATTAACATTATTATAAAAATCATTAGCGTTTTACCAACATCATATTGTAAGTGGAATGCCCCCACCTCACACGTCCACGCCGAGCAGCCATGTGAACGTTGAGCATAATCATCAGAGAGTCGACAGGCCAACTGGAAGAGTATAACCTGTCTGCCGATGAGGACCAGAGCTGGATAAGTGCCATCACACCACCCATGGATTTTTGTTGAGCCACGCCACATAGATGCAAGAAAGACCCATCCAACTATAAGTTGGCTTGTCAAACAATCATCATTTGTTCTATATATCCAGAGATAACCACCGCATTTGGTGAACTTACCGACATCTGCCTATACGTGCCTATCAAACGGTCGGTGACAACAGTTCGCCCAAGGTTGGCCAAGCTGCCAATCAAAAGTCAGGAAATCTCCCAGCAGCACATAGGCCAGAAACAGAAGCCGACCCGCTTGTGCCTCAGTGGCACAGCATGACGACATGCTGGTTGGTGGTTGACCTACCCCTCTGAAAAATATGAAAGTCAGTTGGGATTGTGACATTCCCAATATGATGGGAAACATAAAATTCATTTTTCAAACAACCAACCAGCATGATATTGAGGGGATTCAGAATTCCAGGCAACACAAAAAGCTACGTCTGGGACTGAGCGGCCTCCCCAAGGCAAACGCGGACAAGATTTGTTTCATTATCAAAAATCAAAAGATATCAACACTACCAAATAGGAGTGGCAAATCTGTCTAACATTCATAATTCATAATGTTACAATTATATGTATTATACAATTAATTACTGCATAGTATCATACAACAATATATAAGTATCATATTACAAAAGCATCATATAACAATCATATTAAGAATGTAAAGAACAGTATCATAATCATATAACAATATATGATCTATATAGAAACCCTTCCTTTAGGGGAGTATACTTGACATCTTCTCAGAGGCCAACTGTTCCAACTGTTCCTATGGCTTTAAAGGACACTTTTTTCAGGAACCCAGCAACTTGGCTCTATCAAAAGATATAAAAACACCAGCGGTTTCCTCTAGATTTTCTGGAGGGTTCATGAAATGGTGAATATATTCCTCTTGAAAAATGATGGAGTTCGTCAGTTGGGATGATGACATTCCCAATATGATGGGAACATAAAATTCATGTTCCAAACCACCAACCAGTGATAATGTGCGTCTTAGAGTCTTAAATAACCAACATATGCCTGGTGTTGGTGGTGGTTAAATTATGCTTTAATGATTCATTCCCAACTGAATGGAAAGTCATAAGATTCCATGGTTCCAGTCACCACCAACCAGATATATTAATCATTGATTATCATATATTATCATTATCAACCATTATTAACTACTATTAACCACTATTAACCACTATTAATATAGATTATCCCATTATTAACCAGGCTATGATTTTCAACCGATCCATTGATCTTGGGTCTCGGTCGGCTGGGCTCCCTGGGCTCCGTGCCACCGAGTTGGGATATTCGAAGTGAGCTGTCAGGACCAGGGCGGTGATGAAACCTGACCCGCGGGACCCGCGGCGGAGATGAAGAGATATCATTAATCTGGGTAAATCTATGGTTAATAATGGTTAATCTATGATTAATCTATGGATAATAATTGTTAATGATTGGAAAACAATGGGATAATATATATATATATATCTATCATTAATCTGGGTAAATTATAATAATCTACTAACCTGAATAGTTGGGCCATTTGGGATGATTTCCCTTCTTAACTATGATTCCAGTGAGGTCACAGTGAGGTCACTATAATTTACCCAGATTAATAGGTACGGTTTTTAAGCCATGAGCAGTTTTGAAGATGGGTTTATAATGATATGACTATAACCGTAGTGGGTATATTGATATATAACCTTCGTTATAGGAGTTATGTGTCCATTTATGACTGTCAATGGCCATGGGCCATAATTGTGTTAATTACAGGATCACTGATATGGATCTACAACCGATATCTTGAGATCACGACTAGTATCTATTGTCCACAATATGTATATATTAAATACAGTTCTGTATAACATATTCATCAAACATGACTGATGTAGTCGGTTTAAACTTAACGCTAACCTTCCAGATACCTTTGGGATAGGTAACCTTTGGGTTACGTTACCATGACTTTGGGTTTGGTAACCTATCTGACTGGTAACTGGAGAATGAAGGATAAGTTTGTCCAACAGAAAATGATACTAAACATGGGGGTTGATTGACACGTGATTTAGGAAATGCAACTTGGTAAACATGACACAACCCAGATACCTGAAATCTGAAGTTCATTGTATGTGTATATATATATATATAATATGTAGAGAATCATATATATATATATGTATAATGCAACAATACTATCTATAATACTTAGACCAAACTAGACACACGAACTGCAGGAAAAATAAGTACATAGGTAAATAAAACCATCCATGTCAATACCTGGTCCCAAAACCTGAAGCAACCAACAACCTTGCACAATAGCTAGCATCATCATTACCAGCTACTGCTGGGGATGTGTTACCTTGCAACACTTATCTTTTGGCCTGATGTTGTCCCCCAAAACATGTTATCTTTCTGTCCTCTGCTCACCCTTTCTAGTCAAGATACATTCACCATTTGCGCCATGGTCAAAGCATGAATTTCAAACGATATGGTTATCCCACCACTTTTTATGGATCTCAAACATACTGAGAATAAACATGTAACCTCTTTTTTCAGGGATGACCGTCCCGCAGTAAGGTACCAACTCATAATCCACATGTTGATTGGTGATAGTTCCAACTCATATCCCGTGGATATCCCATTGAGTCCCCACGTTACTTGCTTAACTCGTATGAACTCCAACTAACCATCCCACCAATATTCCATCTACAATCCCTGGTTTGTGGTTGAGCCACCCCTCTGAAAAAATATGAGTTCGTCAGTTGGGATGATGACATTCCATTCCCAACTGTTTCTGGAAAGTCATAACAGCTATGTTATTCATGTTCCAAACCACCAATCAGATCCCCTTCTTGTCTGTTGATTAATAGTTGATCGAGGCACCAAAGTGGCAGTAGTCCGACGGTGGTCTCTGCACATATTCCAGGCCACGGTTCCTGGACCCGTGGCCACGAAATCGCAAAGTTGGGGATGGGGTTTACATAACTCCAATCTCACTATGGTTCACCACACTACTATAGGTTATGTGTTGTTTTAATGTTGTTGGTTGGTTTAATTCCACTCGACATGATATAGATTCTCTAAATCATGTTGAATATTCCCACAGATGTTGTTTGTTTTTTTTCCGAACCTAGATCCAGATTAGCAATAGCCTCAATGAAACATAGCCATGGACAATCCCCCATAATTCGATCGTTTTTCCCACTAAGACACCATTTATAGAGGAGTTTCCAGCTTGCCACGTTTGATTACCAGAGGGTGACTAATGTGGGGAATGCCATAAACCATCCCCCAAATCACCATAAATAGGTGGAACCATTCCCAAACTGGTGGTTTATTTGTGTTCTACCCACATTATAGCTAGTCGTTGTCTTTCCTTATTCACCGGCCTGAAGTAATGCGTCACGAGGTAACGGTCAAAGTTGGCGCTGGAATTGCAGCGAGCTCCCCAATCCTGTAGCCAAAGATGAGCCCCGTTGTCACCAAATGTGCCTGGGTCAAAACATGGTGAAATATAGGATTTAACACTCAATCATGGGATTTTGCCAAATCATACTACATACATATATCTATATATCTATAATTATGTATAATAATATATATATACACTATCTATATATATATATACAGTATATATATATATGTATAAATGCTCGAGCATCAATACACCGAACTTACAACCCATGGGATCACTAAATCTTCATAATCGCACCATCACGTGACCGGTCCTCGACAAAGAACCAAGATAGGTGGTTGGTCGTCTGGCAATCCTTGCTGGTTCTATGGCCAGGGCTTGGTGGTTTTTTGATCGTCGTTGAAAGCGTCATTGTTGGAGATCTTTAGTGGGATGGCGAACCATCTAGACCGCAAAAGGCCAAACATCTGGCGGCTACAACCTAGACTGCTGAAAACTTGGAGACACTGCAAACATTGGAACATGCTGGGGGTACAACCGAGACCAATGCCAATGAGGATATCGTACAACATTGAATAATGTGCAATTATATCTAATCATATTACGACAAAGAATAACATTCCAATCATGCAACAGCTTCCCATTTTGTGCAACAAACTTGCTTCAGGACTATAGTTGGATATGCATCAGAGGGTATCAACAAGCTCCCAAGTGTGATATACAAGTGGTTCAAGAACTCAAACCAAAATCAGTGATCTAGTGGCTGTTCAACCCTTACAGTCATAATCCGAAATACCATTGATAAGTCAGTTCCAACCTTATTTATGGAATGATAACCCCATTTAAAACAAATTATAACTGCATGGTGAAGTACCAAAACAGTGTAGAAACATGTAGAAACCTCATGGTGGAAACATCAACGCCGTCGGCCATGTCTTGGCCGTGCGGTCCTCTTTGCACACGACCCAGCGCCATTTGTCGACCAGCGAACGTGACATTGCCTGGCCAAGTGGTGTTGGTCAGAAAATATGACCTTATGCACTTATGGCCCTCAACAGTTATAAATGGGATCATAACCGTTGAGACTAAGGTTATATATCACTTAAAATGAGGTTATGTTAGTCTAGTAATAAGTGTGAAAAAGGGCCAAAGGGCTATAACTGTGGCGGTTTCTGCTGTGAGATTGGCCAGTGAGGTTGTGAAGCAAGTCACCCACAAGAATATGGTTACTAAAAAAAACATGGGGCTAGCCATTTTAGCACTAAAAAATCATCCTAGTATTGAAAGCTATGGTCCCTATGATCTTGGAGATCCCTGGATTTTGACACATCATATCTTCAAACAGGAAGTCAAGGCCACCGTTAACGCCACATACCCGCAGTGGAAGTGTTCCACCTCTAGCTGCACATCTGAAGCTGGCCAGCCTCGCCTCGTGGCACCGAATGGATGGTTGCTGAATCCTTGCTGAACCCATATATGCGAACCATGGTGCTGGTATATTTACCTACAAAACTGGGTGATTTTGTTCGGGTAAATGTTGGTAAATATATGTAAATACATGGAGCATCTGGGGAATCAATGATCCTTCAACCTCTGAGAAACATGTTCGGGTCGGAAGTCGGAGGTATGTAGAAGTTAGATAAGTCAGTTCCTCATACCTTGATGGCGATTTGCGTGTCATGTGGTCCCAGGTTCCGAGGTATGAGTCAAAACCCTAGGAGCCAAACGGTACCCTTGTCAATAGCTGGGCCGGGACCTATGGATGCGCACATTCCCCCAGCCATATGGCAATTTCAGAGGTCACTGGACCCATCCCCATAGTTTTCCTATAGATTTCCCATAAATTTCCCATAGGATTCGCATAGGTTTCCCATAGATTTCCAGTTGGTTTGGATGTTTCCAGTTGGTGTCGAGGCACTGGCTGTGCCGCCTGGCCGCCTCGCGGAAGACACTCCACTCCTCGCGGTCCCAGCAGTCTACCTCTGCAGGGGGCACCACCTGGCGTGAAAAAGGAATGGCACTACGTGGAGAGGACGGACGCTAGGGGATTGGTAAAAAATGGGTGCTTGTCTGGTGTTTTTTGGGGGCAAAAAAGTGTGCTCATCTGCTTTTTTCTTCAGAATTGTGCTCGTAGTTGGTGCCAAGAGAGGAGGGCTGGAGGTGGATGTGTGCAGGATGTGAGTTGATGTGGAGTGGAGGAGTGGTGTGGCACAGGGTGAATTAGTAGAGAGGTTGGCACGAGATTGGTCAAAGAAAAAACAATAACCACAGCAGCCGTTTATGCAGACCATTTTGAGGCTTCACTTCTGGTGTGTTTTTTTTTTTAATACACTTTTAAATACAATACATGTGTTTAACTGTTACCGGTCGGGGGGCTAACACACATTATACATAATATATATATATATATATCATAGCTTATTATACACATTCAGGAACATATATACTATAAAAATATATACATACATGCGTTTCTATAGACATTACTATACATGACATGACTATACTCAGGGGTAAGGAACAAGAAAAACACAGAGGGAGGGAGAGAGGGGGAGAGAGAGAGAGAGAGAACTATGTCAGTTCCAATTGAAATGCATCAGCATATTACTTCAATAGTGCCGATGTACTTGTTCATTTTCTTTGGCGGTTTATTACTATACTGTAATATCATGCGACCCAGACTGATCTAGACCCTGGACACCCAACAAGCTCCTGGCCTTTTGGCCGTTTTAAACAACGACCGACGCAATTGGCCGATCCAAGAGTGCGTACGGGCCCAAGAAGCCACCATATCTGTGATGGGCCATCCAGCATGCGCAATGTTGCGACGCCGATGTCGGACAACTTGATGAAAATGAATCGTTGTTTTCAAAAAAATGCACACGTTCATTCTCCTTGGCTTGTCTTGAAAGGTCCAAAAACCATTCACCTTGAAACAAAAAATGAGAATTGGATTCCCCACTCATGGAACGTGATTATCCCTCATTAATATCGCTGAGTATAATACCCCAGCTAATCATGAAGCATTGTGGATTTCTCTAATCATCAGCCAAGTATACTAAACAAATCGTCCAAGTCTCTAATCTCTTGATCATTCTGCTCACAATGTCCGGCCTTTCCTTGGTGCTTTGTCTTGGTCAAGAAAAAGGTTCAAGCATTTCGACATAAAGCTTTCGATATAAAGCCATGGTTCTTCCAAAATTTCATGCCATCTAATCAACCCTCCAAAATCAAGAACATTTAGATCTACCTAGACTCTAAAAATACACCCCAAAAATGGCAAACATATGCAAACATATTGAATTTTCTGGGGTACAAAACACAACATGTTTTCATGGCTACTTGGAGAGTCTGGAGGTAGAATCTGGATGGCCAAACCCGACAAGGTCACCTTTCGTGGTCAAACTTTTGATGCCCTTTTTAGACCGTGGGACCGATAGTGGTGAATAAGCTAGAAACTAACCCCAAAGATTCGCATCCTTTTCCAATTTACCCGGCCTGGTAAACATACAGTTTAAGCTATTGAACATTGCCATAGAAATAGTGGATTTACCCATTAATTAAACGCATGGTGGATCTTTCCATCGTTTTTTGTATGTTTGCCAGGCCGGGTAAGCCATGTTTTACGCCTCCGGTCCCCCCAAGTCTCCCGGTACAAATTCCGCTGCTCCGTGGGGTCTTGCTCCAACTCGAAGAGACATCCCTCCGCGCAGGCGGCCCAGGTGGACTCTGACGCGGTGGAGCTGCGGTTGGGGAAGCTGGGGCCCTGCCAGAAGCTGGGCCTCTGCGCTTCGGTCAACAACTTCCAGGTACCCCAAATCAAGGCATCCTGAGATGGGAAAATCTGGAATGGGCTTGGCATTTCAAGAGAAGATGGGGAAGAACATGAAAATTTAATGGCATGGAAAATCATGGAAAATCATGGAATATAATTTATGATATCATGTATATATAATGGGAAGATTCATGGGTTATAGACATTACAATCATACTGGGCATTGATTGGGAGGATTATGGGGAATGCACCCCCTTGAGGGACTTGGATGTTGAGGAAGGGGGCCCTCTTGATGCCCCAACAAATAAGTTGGACAAGAGCCTAGGGTCGTGGATTTACTCATACTTATACACGGGGGTAGAAACCAACCTATCTTGGATGAATGAAGACAGGAAACAAATGCATATATTACACATGTGCACACATGCTCACATGTTCTCTTATGTCTACCTACGTGACTGGCCCATGTTTGGTGCAAATGCTGGTAAACCAGAACACTAATTGCGGACAAGTAAACATGGAACCTCATGAAGCAAAGCAAATGTCAATTTGCATCCGCTCAAACACTTCGCCAAACAGGTGGCTCTCATGAAGACAAAGATCACATTGGATTTCAGAAATGAGACATCACTATCCCAAATTTAACAATGATGTTTCCACCCCAAAAAGATGATGCCAGCGACATTCTACTCAAACATATCAGGCTCAAATCATCAATCCAAAGATAAAAACAACATGTGTCCTCTGTTGATTTCAGTCATGGGATTTATAATGTTAGGAAACGAACAAATCACCGGAAGTAAATCCAGAAAGGACAGCCATTATCTGCATGTTTGTTCCACTCCGCTACCCACCTTATCATATGTTTCTATGAAATTTAAATGGCTGACATTGGCCAACAAAAATACCACAGTACCAAAGCATCATGTTACAATGTTCCTTGGTATGTTTCACATTGTCATTACTCTCACTATCATTCAATCATATTCAATCGTTATCATTCAATCATTCTCATGCTGTTTTTACTGTTCTTGCCATACTTGTCTTTTATTTGCCAAAAAACATGGAAAAAAAAGAGAAGTCATTCTTCTTTCCAGCCCCAGATTATATGTTTTTACTTTTCTATAGCCAAACAATGCCGCGATGATCCACAACGATTTGCTGAAGGGGTCCCTCCCCTTAACAAATAACATATTCCCTCCCAGTATCAACAATTATCCCAAATGCTCCATGTATGGCATATTTATCTAAATTTGGGTGATTTTTAGGACACATGTTGGTAAATATTCCATACATGGATCATATGGTTATTATACATTCCCCAGTTCTGGTGGAATGTCAATCTGGTGGAATGTCAAACATATTTATAAATGAAACAACTCCGTAAACAAACCCGAGTCTCTCATATCATTATATCTCCTTGATATCTTCATTAAATCCTCATTACGAGTGAGCTCTAATATATTACTATCTTTTTACTACACTATTATCATCAACCAAAATCTCACCATTGGCTATAATTATCAAATCACCATATTGCTACTATTACTAATTATGATGATTCCGATTTCTATTATTTCTATTATTTCAATATCATTATCACTATATTATCACTAATTATTGAGAATATCTATCATTATGGGTACTCAATATGGATAGTTTATTTGCTGGAAAATCCATCAATGGATGATTTTGGGGTACCCCTATTTTTGGAAACCTCCGTATATCACATGGGAATAAATATGGTCAAAGGGGATACCCATAGTCATATACTATACGCCATATATTGCACAAATATGAAAAGACCATATTACTATCACTAGATTATTTTCACTATATTATCACTATTAATACTATTATTAATTCATTACAGTACTATTTCTATATTATCTGGGTAAATTATAACATTTCACTAACCTGAATAGTTCGGCCATTTGGGGATGATTCCCCTATAAAAAACCATGATTTACCCAGATATTACAATGTGGTGCCCCTCAGTTATAAGTTGGTTTATAAACCCCATTAACTATAGTTATATCTACCATAAACCATAGTGAAATTGGAGTTATGTTCACCAACTTAGCTAACTATGGGGCACCACCATTAAATCCCATTAAACCCCATTAAATCACCACTAAGTCACCATGTTCCTATGGTTTTCCTATGGTTATGATCATCAAAGCCAGGGCTCCGGTCCCAGTGGAATCACCTCCCTGGGGGACTTCTCTCCCTCCGTCAGCATGGGCCACACGTCCAGCGAGTCGATGGGCGGCAGCGCTGCCGACGCGGCGCGGAGGTCGCGCGGGTCGAGGCCGACCAGACGGCAGAGGGTGGCGTACCAATCCGCGATGTGCAGAAGACCTGATGATCTCTACAGTTATTACAGTGAAATGGCCAGGGCTATTAGTGAACTAACTGGATATTTCTATATGGGATGAGAAACATTCTATAAATGGGGTTTATTAGTTAAAACTGGTTAGTTCTATGGGATTATACATTCTATAAATGGGATTTTCTAAGTACTTATAACTGATAAATGACCATAACTGTGATGATCTACAGTGAAATGGCCATGGCCATTAGTGAACTGACTGGTTATTTCTATGGGATAAAATACATGACCTATAAATGGGGTTATATATAAGTACTTATAACTGGTATTTTGGGCCATAACTGTAGGGCATTTAGCCCATTCAATGCGAACCATGGTGAACGATTTATCAACTGCCAATCTTTCACCCAGTTTTAATGGTTTTGATATACCAGCACCATGGTTCGCATCTGGGCGATTTTCCAACGGAATTTTGGAGACATTTCTGTGATTCCAAAAGGTGGTACCTCAATGGAACCATTCCTGAAGTTTGCTAACTTCTGTCGGCTTTATGGATGTTCATGGTGAATATTTAACGGTAGCCAAGAAATTTTGCTCAACATTGGTGCAGCAAACATGAGAATATTGATCAATGCCAATATGACTGGTTGGTTTCAACCTATCTGAAAACATAGTCAATTGGGATTATCATCGTAGGTAGGGTTGAAAAGAGCAAACAGATATTTGAAAGCACAGACCGGATCTGATTGCTGACCAAGTGGTGGGTAAACACTTGTAACTTGTAGCAAGCTGATGATTGGTGAGCCATGAAACCAACCATTCACCAACCTCATTGGATTCATCCGGTCATCCAAAAAACAACTGGTTGATCATCATTTTCAGACCCACACATCGAAACTCTTGGTTTATAGCAAGCCGCAAAAAAGGAGGCCGCAAAAGTGAGAAACCTGGAAGTATGAGGCACATGTTCTGACTAACATCCCGTGGTTCCACACCTTTTCGCCATCGTTTTGGAGCCATAAATCCAATCGATTTCTCCAACTGCCCACGACCCTTTTCGCCTCGCCTTCATTGCAACTTCCCCGCAGCTTGCCAGGGATGAAGCCGCCCGAGACAAAGGCGGCCACCCTGACGCCACCTTCGAAGTTGCTGTACTTGCCTGCTGGAGATGGGAGTCCCCAATGGCAAATCAGTTACGAATCAGTTACGGCCAAAAAAAGAAGCGATGGCCGTGGGGAATAACGTCCTGAAACTGGCTGGTGAAACATATCACTCAGATGAGTTTAAGTTGTTCCCTTTTCTCGCCAGTTATATCACTGTTGTATAAGGATGTGTAAGGGCTATAACTCTAGCAAGATGTTTCTTCGAAAATTACGAGAATCAACAGGAACAATATGATGAGTTCATAAGTCATGGGGGAACGTATATACTCCAAGCTAATGGTTGTTTGGAATGCGAAAAAAAATGTGATTTTGGGGTACCCTTCAAGCAACGCCCCAATAACTTTGAATTACACCTAGCTCCATGTGCAACATCAAACCTGGGATTGAAACCTTTAGTTTAAAAAAATATCATAGGTTTAAACAAAACTATGCGTTCTTACTACTGACCAAAGAGATATGTTTTCCAAACGTGGATATACAACATTTAATAGCGAACAACAAAAACAACCTACAATTACAGCTTGCGTAGAATTCCTTGGCTATTCAACTTGGGAACATGATAAAGCGTTAGATTTGAGGGGTACAATGGGAAGAGCTTTGTTTGAATAATACCAAACTGAAGTGGTGGCAAATGTGTTGCCTGTTATCTCTTGACCATCCACTGGTCCACTGCTCACCACAAATATATATATATAACCATCCACTATAGATGATGGTTACTTGGGCATGGATTATTGCCCAAAAAAAATCAGGGTTCTATGTTTTGACCAACAAAACCAGGATATGTTTACAATCAAGTTGGAAGATGTTGGAAGCATCCAAGACTGTGTTTGTTGCTCCAGGACCTGCTAGGATGGTCCACCAGCTCCATGGCGATACACCGGCCAAACCCCACTGAAATCTCAACCCGCGACTATACCACTAGTATCTCTCTAAAATCCTATTAAAATGCTATTCAAATCCCTTTAAACCACTATTACGCCCACATTCTTATCCCATGAAACTCCCATGAAAATCCACCATTTCCAGTCACCGTTCAAGCCACTGGCCTCCGCGCAAGGGCCAATTGTTGGCCGCATTTTCAGCCAGACGCACAGGCCCACCGTTGTCGGACGAGAAGATCATCAAGGTGTTGTTCCACATGCCCTCAGGGATCTATCGCCACCCATGGTCCCGATCGTCCCGGTGGTGACTTGTGGCTAGCTCCAGGTAGACTGGTAGATCCGACAATTTGATATGCCAACTTTGGAAAAAGACACCACGGACTGTATTGAGTTAATTAGATTTGCCATAGATTCCATGTATATCTACTTATATAGATATATATATATATATATTATATTTTATTAATATTAATTATATATTAATATAACTATATCTTAGATATCCGTTTGCCTAGAATGGTTTTTGAAAATTCATATGATACCCTTCTATTTATCAACCGGACATCGGATGATCCTGGATGATCCTGGCGCACCACCAAGGCTTAGCATTGACAAATGATGTTCCCTGTACCATCTGGTTATGACTAACATAGCCATGGAAAGATCCACCCATCTTTAATAGGTAAACCGGGAAACCATCTATTTCTATGGGCCATCTATACCATGGCTATGTTCAATAACCAGATGGTAAAACCTCCGTTTTTGACGGGGATATCCATGGATATCCGGTGTCATCGCCATGTTTCATGCTACCAATGCTTTGTTTGACTTGATTGACGCCTTCTTCTGCAACGCATTGGTGAGGTTCCCAACGACTTCATCCATGATCATGATCATGGCCGCATGCTGCCTGCGGCATCTGTATTTCAAATCCAGGTGATTTGGATCAATTGGATGCTCGTCTTGCACCGTCTGGATGCTGCAAAGGCCTTCGTCATCTGTCATGAAGTCAAACTTGTCATAGTACTCTTTGGGTACTTGGAGAGGGCAGTGAGCCACATGCGGAGCATAGAAGAGGAACAGTGGATCAGCTGGATTATGGGATTCAATGATATTCAGAAGTTCTGTCTGGTAGAGAAACTCTGAGTAGTCAGATCCATTGACATCTGATGCTCCTTTGTTTGTTCGCCAAAAGTCGATGATTGATCGATCCCCCTCGCAGCAGGTTTGCATGTTTGACTGGCTGTAGAAATCATTCTTGTGCGAAAAGTAGTTGAGACTCGTATCATATCCTTGGAGTTGCTGAAAGCCCCAATCACTTGACCTCAAAAGAAGTAAAGGATAAACATCATCGATTCCAGAGTAAAGAAACAAATCTACCATGTTTGACTGTTTAGTTCATTTCCCGTAGTATATTCACTCCCGGAGTATCCCCTTTGGCACATAAATGTCTAGCTATAATTCATAAACCCATTCGCAGTGTATATATATATATACATTCCGCGCAGAAGTAATACATAGCAATAGCAACAATTAACAACATATTACCATGGAAAACTGAGATTCCCCAATTTCAAAACTCACTTCTTTTCTCACAACAAAAAATAAAACGACGGCTGAAATCTCCAGGTTTCCTCGGCCATGCGGTGTATGCCGCGGGGTGGCCATTCCAGCATCCCATTTCCCAGCAAAGTGAGTCTTGTATCCGGCCGATTTCATCTTTTCAGCTAGGCCAGTCATGTTGTACCTTAGATATCCATAGATTAGAACTACGCCAATTTCTTGGGCTTACAAGGTGGTGGCCCTAAGTTCGTTACATGACTGTTGATTTATGTTACATGATGTTACCCTATCTAATTGCACTTATTTCATCACCCCAAGCCTTAGTTTGATCTGCTATATTTGCTATAGCAGGCACCACCTAGCACCTTTTACGGTTGTTACACCCGAAACTGGTCAATGGGCCAGGTGGGGCCCAACATTTTCTGGTTGGTGGTTGAGCCACCCCTCTGAAAAATGATGGAGTTCGTCTGTGGGGATGATGAAACTCCCAATAAATGAATTCCCATATTCCCAATATGTTACAAACCACCAACCAAATTTTATATAACAAGACCCATGCACGACAATCTCGTAGATTCGCTAAAAATGTTGGTACCCAAAAAGGCAATGTGGCAAATCCACCTTCTGGGTATGATTTTGAATAAGTCCCGAAAATTGTAAACGTTGGAAAATGAGATATGTGCTGAAAAATCTGGGATTCAATCTGGGATTTTTCACATTTGAAGAAGATTCCAGTAGATTTCGGAACTGGTGGGACACCCCCATATGGCCTTAAAAGTAGGAAACAGGATGATAAACCAATGTTTTTAGAGGTGCTGACCTATTTTCATTGGACAATCCGATATGTATATATATATATATAAAAAGAGAGATAGATAGATAGCATATACATATATAGCATATATATATATATGCTACCTTTCAAAGACTTACCTTTTCAAATGAAAAACTCCACAAAGATAAGATATACATACGTATAAACATATATATATATATATATTAGGCTGGAGATATGCTTCCAAAAAAAGAACACATAGACAAAAGTAAAGAACAAAGGGAAAACAAAACAAAATAAAAACTGTTGTTAAAGGAAAGCGCTGCTTACATGTTACAATCTGCTTTGACGACAAGATATTCCCTTGAATAAGAACCAATATTCTTGTAAGAAAAATACAAGTGTGAACAGATGAACTACATCCTTTAATGTAGCTCTGCCTTCCTTTCATTTTCTCGTATGACCATTGTTTAAGGAAAGGCTTACCTTCTTCAAAATGCATTAATTGCCTTGAAGACAAGGTATCCCCTTAAATAAGTAGCAGTATTCTTGCAGAAAAATACAAAATGTGGACAAACGTAATGCATCATTTAAAGAAGTTCAGACTCCCTCTCATTTTGTTTACTGGAAAGGCTTCATTTCTTCAACATATATAATGTTAACTGTTGTGTTCAGATGTTTCACTCATATGGAAGTGCATATTGCATACATACATTCATGGCCTGTTTCTACCAAAAGAACCTATATAAACGCACGGGTTCTACTTCATAGTAATGCTTCTTTGTACTGTCGCATGATTTTCAATCAAATGATTCACTCCTTTGTGAAGGAAGCTTTGCACATACTTGCACCAAAACTTTCTTTGAGGAATACCACAATTAATTGGTTAAAATGATTACTCAAAGGATTCCATTCTGAAGTAATGCTATCCTCATGCCTCCTTCCTGAAACTGTTTTGCCTTTTTAACAGAACTTTGCATAGCTTAGTCTTGTTGAAAATAACTCTATGTGCCTTTTAAAGAAAGCTGCACTCCTTTGTAACTTCGCACAGCTGTAAGTATCCTCTCAATAAAGGGGATGGTTACCATATATATATATATGTATATTAAAAAAACATATGTATATATGTATATATATATATATATATATATGTATGTATAATATCTATATATATGTAATATATATATATAAATGTTATATATATAAATGTTATATATATATATGTATAGATATGTATAGATAAAGCATAACCATATATATATATATATATATCATACATACCCTGGCACTGCAGCTACCAAATATAAAATGGGTCACCGTTGGGTGTTTTTTCCCAACCATGATTTTTGGGTTTCGTTACCCATTGGACAGATAACTGGAAGATACGGGTAGACATTAGCCCTTCAATCACCAACAGTTTGGAATTTGGAATATATACCCTCTGGTAGACTAACATATATATAGTTTTGGAAAATCACCATTTTTTTATAGGTGAATCAACTATAAATAGCCATGTTCCAGTTCGCAAACTGCTAGTTTATCACTGCTCCCGAACGCTTCTTAGTGGACCAAGCAGTCAACCTTCAACCGTTCCACGGCGTCCAAGAAACGGAATCCCGGTCGCATCATCACAGACATCCCCCAGGCCGGTGTTCACATGCACCGGAAGGCGGCCGGATTGAACGGAGGTCCGTGTTGGAGTGCACATCTTATGGACATAGTGCCGCTTCAAACGAATGCCCTGACCTCTGGTGGACAGGACATGTATTCAAGGACACTTTGTGGTGCAGTGAAGAAGGGAATCGCGACTTCTTGCTTGGCTTAGTTCACTAATATTTCGCGCTGTTGGGTCCATGGATGTCTATGGTGTGTTTAACATAGTATAACTCGCGTGCAAAGTTGGTTTACAACGAATAGTTCTCTAGGGTTTATATCGTGCTGTGATAAGATGAGATAAGTACAGTTAGATGGGGATAAGAACCAACTTATAACTATGGTGAACCACCTTGTAACGATTGATCCCTGGACAACCCCGAAGTGGGATGCACAGACTGGATGTTGCAGCGGGGCAACTTACATGGGACTACTTCACTGATATTCAATTGTGGGGTACCAGCGGACCATCTAATGACTTAGTATTATTAGATATACAATTGTATATGAATTAACTATACATATTCAAATGGTTACTTCTAGTATAGATATACATAGATAATTCAATCTTGGATGACTTTGAGATAATTTGGAACCTGTGCCTCTAGAAATCATCCATACATATTCACAACCCAAAAAAAAACCGTAAATATGGATACGCCTGAACAAAGAATGACACATGTATCATCATATATCTCAAAGCTTCGCCCATCAAATTCACCAACAAAAGCCTAGTGACCGGCCAAGCGATCCAAATTGGGCGTCACAACGGACTTGGGAATGGGAGGATCCCGGTTGAAGCCCACGTTGGCCCAGCCCAAATCGTCCACCAAGACGAACAGGACGTGAGGTTTGCCAAAGGCCAGAGGCAGAAAGACGATGGCGAAATTTCGCATGGACACCATTTATGCAAAAAAACAAAGGATGGATGGGAGAAAGAGGCAAAAAAAACACAGGTAGGTACATATAAATATATATACATAACATAACTCATCATGCACCGAGTAAAGTATCGGTGTAGTTTGAATCCTCTCCGCCAGTGCTGCAGTGATCAACTTGGAAGGTCCGTAGTGCCAACGGCTTTTCTTTGCAGAGTCCAGTGCATCCCAGCAAAATCGGCAGCCATACAGGTATGTTGACAGCCGTATAAACATTATAATATATTAATTATGTATATATATATAAAACGACTATGGTCACCATCGCTATCAATTTCATGTCAATCCTAAACTTGGAAAACCGCGGATGGTTGATATGGGGGTCAACACCGAAATGAGGCATAAGATTGAAATGGTAACCTAAAGCCGGGGTTGACATTACCCTCTTATTACAATCTGATTACCATGTTCAACAATTAAATATGAGCAGCGCAATGTCCCTGAAACAAGAGTATCAAGATATGTCCTCCAAGTCAGAGGACCGTGAAATTACATCCCTGCTGGAAATCCCAAAATAAATAATAATGGCTTCAGATTCAGGAGGCATCGTTGTGTCAAAACTCAATGAAATGATGTTGGACGGCTTTCTTTGATCATCAAAGCCAGAAATTGTCGTTTCAAAACTGTTCTAGCGTTGATCATCAAAACATGTCGAAACCAAGATTTCGGAATTCTTGAGAATTGCGGTGGTCCCAAAATGTCCAAACATATTCAAAACACCTCGGTATGTGTTTTTTCCTTCCCAGTGGTGAAGCGTGACCGTGGTCTCCACACCTGGATAGCGTGACCTGCGAGGACAATGAGGTGCCAGCCTGTGCCAGGCGCAGTTAAGTTCATCCCCAAATGAGGCAGACCTCCGAATGATGGGGGTTGAACATGCAAACATACACTGATTGAAGCAGAAAAGAATGGGAACTGCTAATTTAGGGTAGCTTAAGTTGGTTTGTATGAAAGTCAAAGCAAGAAAGGGATGAGTTTTTAAACCAATTTAAAACTGCGGGTCGCATCTTGAACGGTGAAACTACAACATATGTTAAACAAAAACAATCAAACACTACAATGTGGCTGAATATATCATAATCAAACGTCTATAATCATGTTTGTATCCAACAAGTCATTCCCCTTTTGAAACGGCTTTGGTTTGATTGGGCTAGACACTATCCCTCCACCAAAAGCCGCCCAGGACCAAGGAGACAGAAGAGGTGGCAACTGTCGCAAGCATTTTTGGAAACAAGACGTATGAGCAGCTGTCTTTGACTGTTCCAAATGGAATAAACAAAAAACCATGGCCAATCTTACATATCCTGCATTGTTTTAGCTGGTTTATAAATATCCAAATCTATAGCAAACAATGGATACATACTAAACCAACCATTCAGGGTTGACCTCGTATTCTGGCGCATTCCACGGTGTCTCCCAATCACATGACCAATGGAATCGCCTCCCAATCGCATGCTGAAAGGCAGCAGTTGTCTCCATGGTAAATGCAGCTTGGGCAGCTGGCAAAAACTGATTGGTGGTTGAGCCACCGACATGAGAAATACACTAATCTTGGCAGCTACTTGGGATTAGAAAACAAACTCACATTGATTTGTCTGAACATGGGGTACCCCATAAGTCCAATGGTCAATACTGTTCCCCATTAATTTTGGGAGGTATACGGTATGCCCGGTTTTCAGACGTACCCATATCTAAAAGCACAAAACAGTTTCAAAATTATTTTGTAGTCTCTCAGGACCAGGCTTTGAGTCCTTTGAAGGACATTTCCAGCGTTCCAAACCCAATTTCTATGGGTCACATCATAACCAAGTTGTCCCCAGCTCAAAGAATTTCAGAACCAACGGATGAACATGTTGAAACACATAGTTATGACATAGTTCAGAGGCAGAGTTATGGCATAAAGTGGGTTTGGCTCTAATTCTTTTGTTTCCACCTCACCTTGAGCTGATCATGCTGCTCGTCCCCACAATCAGATTGGTTCTACTTGGTGGTTCACTCCATGGCAACTGGTGAGTTACATATAGTTAGAGCACAGTTCTAGGACAACAAAACCAGTTAAGGGAACTTATCAACTAGGCTTATCAACTGTGTTCATGGTCAACGTGGCGGCAGCTGTTTGTACCAACTCGCTGGAAAAAACACCATGCCACACTTGGGAATAAATTGGTGGTTCCAACTCGTTGTCTACCAAATATGTCCATTCACATCCGTCTGTTGATGGGAACATCTGCAGGACCAATAATCCATTGGAAAAAAAGAAAACGGACTTCCTGCAAGCGTTCCCTTCAATCAATGGACTTCTGCGATTCAAGCAACCCAGAAATGAATGAGTACTTACTATGGACAAACAATGCCAGACTTTGAGTCCTCAAATCAGAATTTGCATACCTTGGGATGCTCAGTCATGAGGCGTCTAACTTTTACCAAACTAGGAACCACAAGTCACTATACCGTGAAGCCAACAATGCCACGCAGAGAGACGTCATGCGACATTGTTTTGAGCCTATGGTCCATGGCAAAAAAATAGATCTTAAATCTCACTGTTCCATGGCCTCCCTTGTGAAGCATTTGTTCAAGATAATCTCCCTTGTTACCCCTCTACTTATACTTATTTCATCACCATAGTTACATTATGTTGTATTTATATGTATTTATTATAGCCAATAAGCTTGGTTATGCAGTTTTATACCCAGAAATATCCCATTAATGATCCTTTGCCGAGCACGGGACAGCTTTGCCCGGCGCCCGTCTTTTGTTCTCTCCGCTCGTTAGGCGGCAGCGGACTTCGGACAAGGGCCTGCCGATGAAGGGAGGGTGGAGACCGGCACAAAAGTCAGCGGAATAGGTGCAATTACGGACCGTAGTTTCATTGGATTGGTTTGAGGGAAAATCTACAGGAAACCATGGTTTTTACCATTAAATATGGGGGTTTCCTGTAAATTTTCCCGTAAACCAATCTAATGATAGTTATAAATGGGATGAGGTAACTCCTGCAACTAAGGTGAAGAATATCACTTTAAATGAGGTTATAAGCTGGTTGTAACTGTTAAGAGCTATACATGTAGTACCCAATAGCATCCAATAGCCCAGTATGTAGAATTAACGGCATGGATAAGATATGATGAGATGATGCTAGCATGGTTTTTCACAACCATCAAGTGGTTGGAAAACTCTGAGTACCGTAGCTCGTCTTTGTCACCAACACACCAAAGACATCCCCATCATTGGTCAAAACATGGTCGACCAGTAATGTTCCATCGATGGTGAACCATCCCTTTTTTTCCTGGTCAAATGCCAATGTTTTAAAGGTCCAATATTCCATGTGTGTAATCCCATTCCCATAATATCAAACACCCCCTAAAATGTGTCCGAAAATATGTCAGAATGCTCTACTAAACCATAGTTTACGAGGGGTTGTCAATATTAGGGCGATACGATTAATGAAGTGAAACTAATTGGTGGCTTCAACCTTTCTGAAAAATAATAGTCAGTTGGGATGATGACATTCCCAATAGATGGAAAAAAAAAACATGATTCAAACCACCAACCAGTAATTAAGTTAAATGACAATTTTCGTAACTTCAATGCCCAGATCTTGCTGGTTCAATCCTCAACGTTGCTGAGAGATCCTCATTGTTTAACTTGTTGGTCCGCTTCGCCATAGATATTTTTTTTCGGAGCTGCGGAAATCATCAAAGTATTGCGGGTTTATTCGACGAGGGCCACCTTCGACGAGGGTAAAATTCATAGAAACTGAGGACGGATGTTTGTAATTAATGCTAACAGCAAATAATATACAACATATATATATATATATACACGTAGTAATAACAACAATAAAAAAATAATATTTATTATTTAATAAGATGAATAATAACAATAACGAAACACATAAAAAAAAAAACAATAATAATAATAGCAATAATAATAATCATCATAATACATAACACTAATACATAACAATAATACAATGATATCTATATCAATGATAATAATAATAATAGCAATAATAATAATAATATATATATAATATTGAAACTATATAGTATATCTAAAATATAATATAACAAATCAAAATAACATAAAATATAAGATATGACAAGATATACATTTCACAATCCCCAAGGGCCCCACATTGTACCCAGCCAGATTCAAATCCCGACCCTTGAAGCCGCCTGGACCCGTGCGACGGATGATGTCCGCAGGTGAAGCTCCGCCCTGACGCTGAAGGCGCTGAAGGCGCCAGTTGTCCCCAGTTGTTGATCAATGTTCCATGAGGAAAACCATAGGAAAACCATGGAAAAACCATGGGAAAATGGAGGATATACCCTCTGGTTATGTCAAAATAGCTATTGAAAATCACCTTTTTTAATGGCTAAATCAACTATAAATGGGCTATTTTCCATGGCTATGGGTAAATCATGTCCTTGTAATTTAACATAGCTATTGAACATGGCCATAGAAATAGTGCATTTACCCATTGATAGCATGGTGATGTTCCATAGTTATGTGGCTGTTTACCAGAGGCTAAATCCATGGGAATTTCAGGACCCTAGATTAGAGGTACTGTACCCTATATAGCCATATTTTCTGGGAATATATTTTCTGGGAATATCCGCTTACATAGCCCTTACATAGGCTTTACATATGATAAAGTTATGGGTATCATCAAAATCCAATGAAAATCCATGACAAATCCCATTTTTGTATCATGATAAATCATGAGGCATCATGATAAATCCGATACATCTGTTGCTTCTGAACTCCTGATTCTTGCAACTGGTTTTAAAATCACCCAAATCACAAGTCGTCTGAAGCTTGAATCCCTCTGTTTCATCATGAAAAATAAGCATCCAAGAACCTGGCGGTTCAACATGTTCTTAACACACAACAAATGGAGCGAAAACGTTAGCACAGTTATGGCCCAAAATACCAGTTATAAGTACTTAGAAAACCCCATTTATAGAATGTATAATCCCATAGAAATAACCAGTTATAACTAATAAATAGCCATAACTGCATGTGACAGGGTTGAACAACTTAAGCACGGCTGGCCACAAATCAACCATTCAAAGTGGATCATGGGTATGTGGCGCACCAATTTTCAGTACATGGATGGAACCGGGAAAAAAGGAACACACATCTTAGTACAGAATGTACACAGCATATACCCTCTGGTAAACGTTTAAATAGCCCTGAAAAATCACCATGTTTCATATGTAAATCAACTATTTCTATGGCCAAATTCACTAGCAAACTGTTAGTTTACCATTATATTACCCCTGTAAACTAACAGTTTGCTATTGAATATTGCCATAGAAAGTTTGTTGACCTATGACAAAAATTAAGTCATTATCCATAGTTATGTTAATTTACTATTGAAAATTGCCTTTTATAGTGAGTTTAGCCATTAAAAAGGGTGGATCTTTCCATCGTTTTTTCTATGTTTACCAAGCCGGGTAGATGGAACACCACAATGGTTCTGCTGAGCTCCGCGCATATTTCAGCCGAATCCTGGACATGTTTCGCCCGGAGGAGGAGGTGGACGAGTTGGACATTGGCGGAAATCCATCAACAAACATGGGGATACCATCTGGTTATTTAACATAGCCATGGAATATGGCCTATTTATAGATGGTTTACCTTTAAAACATGGTGATTTTCCATGGCTATGTTAAATAACCAGAGGGTAACATGGGAAAATATGAAAAACAAAGTGGGGATAGCATGGGAAAATATACGGACAAAACACATACCATCTGGTTATTTGTTACATAGCCATGGAAAATCACCATTTTTAATAGGTAAGCCATCTATTTCTGGGCCATCTATTCCATGGCTATGTTAGTCATAACCAGAGGGTAATGTTTGATGAAGGGGATTTTTCATGTTCTTTTTTTAATCCCAAATCCATGGACCAAACATTGGGAAATCAAACATCGTGACTACCCTCTGGTTATGTCAAAATAGCTATTGAAAATGGCTATTTATAGTTGATTTTCCCATTAAACATGGTGATTTTCCATAGTTATGTTAGTTCACCAGAGGGTAAAACACATAAAATTGTCATTGAAACTTGGAATTCAACTGTAAAGTTGGGAATATCAGAGGATGATTCCAGAGAAACCATAAGAACATGAAACCAAGAACATGCAACTTCACCAACCAACAAGCAAACATCACCTATGAATCATTTGGATCATGTTCAACAAGTCAGCTCAGTTTCATGAGAAACAAAGAGAATGGCAATGTTAAACTATAGAACCCAAACAATACTACAAGGTGGTGCCCTGTAGGCAATGAAGTTGGTCTAGTTTGCTAAGAAGACTTTATGGGAGATATCCGAACTATTAGTTCGTATATAGTTTTTCTAGGGTCTTAAAAACCAACACATATTAATCACTTCGGGTCCATTGGGTGAAATTATAGGATCAAAAAAACAACGCCAGTTTTCCAGCCCTGGCCTGGTAAATGGCGCTTTGGCGCAGGGCGGTACATAGGCCATTTCTGCCTCAGGCACTGGGGAAGATGACGTCCCCACCGTGCACACCGGACACTGCCACATTCAATTTTTATGACGTTGTTTGGAAAAAGGTTGGAGGGATCAAGAAAATGCACACTAGTTTCTATGCACACCAGCTTCTATTTCCAAGACAAAGTCATTACATGAGTCAAAATGCTAGTTGAAGGGACCAAATATTGAATTCTGGTATACTTGCAGATTCATCCAACAGTAAGTGGTTTTAACCAGACTTATTACAGAAAGTCCTCCAAGCTGAGCCATGCCACATATATATATATATACACATGGATATACGATCTAATGATTAATGTTCCAGTCAACAGGTCAGGTCACCAGCCCAAAACACACAGCTGGTAAAATCATCCTGGGTACTTATCTCGGACATTACTGGAAGGTGGCACATATAGTTTGTTAAACAAATGATCACCATAAACCCTGGTCAGATCACTTATCAGTTAAACTACCCTCTGGTAACTTAACATAGCTATTGAACATGGCCCATTTATAGTTGATTTACTTGTTAAAGACAGTGATTTTCCATAGCTATGTTATGTTAGTTTACCACAGGGTAAATCCCCATTAAACACAACTGATAATCATTCATTATCATTATTTACCACTATTGCCCATAGGAAAACCACCAGGTATCCCCATGAAACCAACACAGGCACGCTAATTAGAAAAATACGTCTCCAACTTCTGGAGTTATCCCACATATCCTAGGAATCCAATCCTGAGGTTTCCCAACACACCCTGGGCTTTCCGTATATATATATATATATATATATGCATGTATATATATATATATGTGTATGTATATATAAATATATATTTAAAAATGGATATTTCCCTATATGTTATATTATATATATATATATGTACATACACATATGCATATGTACTTACAGTATATAAACCCACTTAAAATTTGTATGGTTATCCCATATATATAAATGGCTCAAAGACCTTCGGTGATCCCATTGCCTTCCGCTCAGCGCAGCGGCGCTGGCTTGCCACCGCCTTCACCTCCGCTTCAAAAGTGGTTTCTTGCATGGGAAATAGTGAAATATGGCACATGAAACGGATATGATGGGATATATATATATATTATATATATATAGGAATCTTCCCGCAAACAAAGAACTGGAACAATGTTTCCAGGCTTGTATAGATGCTGTTTCCCTCATATGTTCCAAGTTTCCAACTGTTCTATCTATAAGGGGGGGTGCTATACTTGAGTTGGTTGGGGTATGTCCAAAAACTGGCTGATCCTGCAGAGCATCTTGACACCTCCACACTTTCATGTGATTGCGATTTTGAGGCCCTACAAATGTACCCCGAAATGTAAGACTGATCGATATACTCGGAATATTCACATTCTATTTTCATGGTATATTATATAATGGAAAGTATGGGAATTAACCAATGACAATTTCCATATACCATATTAAAATCGAAATATCTTGATACATCCAATTTTGGTTGATTAACTTGCAGATATCTATATGGCCTTTTTGTGGCTACCCAAGTGGGCAGTGTGGACCTGCTTCTTAACGTCCAGCAAGCGCACGTTGAAAGTGCTCGGCCATTCCTGAGGCAAGGCAGGTGCCAGTGGAAGTGGGGATAGAATGGGGTCTACACTGGTACCCTCCAGGTGTCGAACCTGCCGTGGCCAAGGTGAGAGATGTGATTTTTATCCAATACGAAGCCTCCCGACCGAATAAACCACTGTCTTCAATGGGGTTTCTTGGGCTTTGTCAATAGGGGAAAATAGGGGAACTTTGATGGACCGAGATCGTTGACTGGTTAGCAACTGGCTTATGTACCCTTTCACTGGACGATCATGGGTACTGAAAAAACATGTTATAACCCACTTACCATCTAGAGTCTAGAGACTACCCTCTGGTAAACAAACATGGCTATTGAAAATGGACCATTTAAATCGTTGATTTACCCAACTAATGGTGATTTTCTATAGCCACGTAAACGTTTACCAGAAGGTATATGGTATATGTGCATATTGGATCTAGGATAATATAGTATATAAATTGTATGTAATACAACCTACATTGTATATACACCTATAATTTTTAGTTCTATTCACATTATATCCTATATGAAATAGATTTCAATATATCAATTGGATATTAGCGCGCGCGTGTGTGTGTGTGTCCTGAAAATGGGCTATACCCTTCGGGAAATGATGATCAAACATCGAAACACCTGGGTGTCCTTTGTGGTTTCAATTTTAAACAGCAGTAGTAGGTCCATGTTTGATCGTGTAAAAAAAATGCGGTGGCCAGCTCTAGAGACGTAATGTGGTGTTTCCGGTGCATGTTCTCTTGGGTCTAACACAAACTTGTATGTTCCATGTATACCTCCAAGTGTCCTTTTACATCATCCGCATATCCTCAGATCACGAAACCACCTTACTATGTGATGTCTATGAACTCTTAGCATTTTACCAACGTGAATCCGATTCGTTGGGGGGGTTGCGTGGTAATCTACAGCAACCCCTGACATCTGACATCTGACAGCTGCAAGCTTTCCTCCACGTGCACTGGTTAGTAATTGGATGTAACTGGGATATAGCTCAGTATTTCTCATGGCTTATAACCTAGTTAGAAAATGTTACCAACCACTTAACTAGTCCTATGACCCATCAAAATCCAACTACTCCACATTGTTTTCGCTGGCCCTTGACCATTAATTTCACCATGTCTCGTTAGATTTTTCCCCCTAAGTGTCGTGTTTGCCCTGCACCACCAAAAAAACACCACCCGCCTGACCAAGAAAACACCCCCATGCCGCGCCATTATACTGGCTGGCTAATAGGGAATTTAATGTAGTAAACCGGACAATAAAACACTACAAGTTGAGGCTTAACACCCACCGATGTCTGGTGACATTGGTTATCAAGGCTGCGCAGCCGCCCCAAATACGTTTGGAGTAGAAACTGTTGAGGTACCCTCTGGTAAACTAACATATATAACTATGGAAAGATCCACCATGTTTAATGGGAAAACTCACTTTATGTATGATTATAAATGGCCATTTTCAATAGCAAACTGTTAGTCATTACCAAAGGGTAAATGCTACCCTCTGGTAAACTAACATAACTATTGAAAATGGACATTTATAGTGAGTTTTCCCATTAAAAATGGTGGATCTTTCCATAGCTATTTTGACATAACCAGAGGGTAGATGTAAAGTCACACAGAAAAAATCCTCCTGTGGCTGTGATTCGCCATTTTCTTCGGTGCATCAATCCCCATTCAACCAGTGGGTTTGTCTGAAACTCGGCTAAATACTATAGGTACCCCAAAAATGTCTGTCAACAGTGAATATGGTCAACAATCATTTAGCTATATGTTAACTGCATTTTTTTGGACAACCCGAAAAAACCAACCCTTTTAATATCCTTGAATCACTTTAACCATTGATTTAATCATCACCTCTACTGCGATGATTGTTTGTTGATACGGATTTGTGTACAATGGTTCATCAGAATCCTCCATACTCTGCCATAGAAAAGGTGATGTGCCTCAGCGATGTATGTTTGATAGCACACACACACATGTTGGTGAACAAGTACGAGTAGACACCTGCAAGATGTTACTCCCGGGTTACGTTTGTTGGTTTATGTTAATCCATCTAACTATGTTATCGAATTATAGCTGGTCCGTCACCATGAACCCGACAGCCAAGAAACCAATGTAAACTATGTAAACCAAGTCCCGAGTCCGGACTGGGCCACCTTTGCTTAGTGCGTCGCAAATGGCGAATTACCACTACTTCAGCTAATTCCAGTTCAGGATGCTTCAACTATATTCAACTCCCACTTAGTACATGCTGAGTACATGCTGAAAAACGTCGGTGAATCCACTGAGTCCCAGCGACGTGAAACTGATTTGGTTTCTCTGCCCAGGTGTCGAACCTGCCGTGGCCAAGGTGAGAGATGTGATTTTTATCCAATACGAAACCTCCCGACCCAAAAAACCACCGTCTTCAATGGAGTTTCTTGGGCTTTGTCAATAGGGAAAAATAGGGGAACTTTGATGGACCGAGATCGTTGACTGGTTAGCAACTGGCTTATGTACCCTTTCACTGGAGGATCATGGGTACTGAAAAAACATGTTATAACCCACTTACCATCTAGAGTCTAGAGACTACCCTCTGGTAAACAAACATAGCCATTGAAAATAGCCATTTATACTTGATTTACCCATTAAAAATGGTGATTGTCCCTAGTTATGTAAACGTTTGAGACTACGGCATGGATAAAACTTATATAGCAATATCATCTGATTGTACTTCTCCATCATGGCCAATCTAAGATACTCTGCAAAAAAAATACATTCGTAGCTGGTTAGTAGATAATCCCATACCAAAAGACTAGTTCGGATTAGTTTATACCCATCCAGTTGCTTGACCTAGTGTAGCATCCTATTAATATCCCATAAATATCCATTAATATCTATCATAAATGAGCATTTACCATAATAATTCATCATTTAACCCAGTTTCATTGTTATCTCCCCAGTTTTTCGATGGTGGGCACCACATATCCTCGCTATCCTGGTGATGAAAACTCCGGCCTCACCGTGGGCTTGACCATTGCTCGCGACCGGTCCTTTTTTTGTAGCGGCTGTAAGCGACTGTATACAGCGAAAGGGCCTTATATATCATATGAAATTCAAACACACACATAAATAAATATATATATATATATCACTAAAGCACTCCTGCGTATGTATGTATTGTATGTAAATATTGTAAATATGAAAAACATATGCATACGATTGTATGTATTTAAACAAAAAAAAACGAGGATGACAGTATATCAGTACTGACCAACCGAAGATATACCAAATATTGTAAACACATACATATTTGTATATGCCTAAAAATGATATCATCATCATATACATGATAAAGTGCATGAGATGGTTCTGGTAATTGATTTGACTTGTGCTTGTAGTGTCTGACAAACAGAGGAACCCCCAAACATGGCTTCCCATGTCATTTTATGCCATCAGCTTTGGCATGCAGAAACAGCAACTGTGTTGCCCATTTGCTTTCTTTGGGGGAAGTAAGAGACATGTAGACGTACCGTGAACTTTAAGAACTACCAAAACAAAGTTACATCTCAACATACACAACGGATGTCCTCATGTTTGAGACGACGACCTGGGAGTCAACAAACAAGTGGATAAAGCACGTTGATGAGGTGCTATGGCAAGCAGGGAGCGAAGACAAGTTTATTGATTTGCGGCCCTGGTTCATCCGACTAGCTACACGGCCAGTTCGAGATCAATTACCCACAAGGTGGTGCCCCCCAGGCATAGCATTGTGGTTGGTTTATAAACCCCATTGACTATAGAATATTAGAGAATACCTATCTAATATAGATATATATATATAATATATAATATATATATATACACACTACTTCCATTTACTCCCATATAAACCAACAAATTATGTTGTAACAAGACCAACCTTCCATATAAACCCTATCTTTTGTTGGTTTATATGGTCCCTTTTCCTGGAGAACAAGCTGGGTCACCACGTGAGAGCAGCTGTCGGGCGACCACGACCTTTGCCTTTCCCCTTGCCTTGCCACTCTTGGCGTTTCGGTTGGCCTTTGGTGCGGCCTTTGTTTTCGCTGTAGCTGCTGCTGGCTTCTTACTTGGGTCTTTCTGCCAACAATCTTTTGCAAGATGTCCAGTCATTCCACAGTGCTTGCACTTGGGAGGACCTTTGCAGTCTTTGGCCAAATGGCCCTTCTTCCCACAGTTGTAGCACTCCACATCTCTGTTGTCACCACTACCTCTTGGACCACCAGTCAGGTGTACCTTTTCCAAATCACCTATATATCATGCGCATCCTCACATCATATGCAGAAACTGCTTCCCACAAACCTCCATAATGCAACTGGGCAAACTCAGCAACTTTGTCAGAAAGATTGCGCATGTACAAAAGGAACTGGTGACCTTCAGTGATCCTCAGGTCTGTCAACTGTGCAGAAATCAATGAAGCTTCCAACATTGCATGAAAACCCCCAATCTCTGCCCCAACTTCTCGCAAGACATCCAACAAGATATGTCGGTCCTTCGTTTTTTCTTCGAGGTTCTGCAAGCGCCGTTGCAAGGCTTCTTGACACAGCCTTGGGGAGCCTGTGGCGAGTTGTCATTGGGAGAGAAACAGAAGAATCTGGGACTTATATAATGGGAAATTAATTGTGTTTCATGGGAATTTCATTGTGTTTTAGTGCTTGGTGGGAATTTAATGGTGTTTCATGGGACTTTCATGGTGTTTTAGTGCTTAATGGGAATTTAATGGTGTTTCATGGGACTTTCATGGTGTTTTAGTGCTCAATGGAAATTTAATGGCGTTTCATGGGACTTTCATGGTGTTTTAGTGCTTAATGGGAATTTAATGGCGTTTCATGGGACTTTCATGGTGTTTTAGTGCTCAATGGAAATTTAATGGTGTTTCATGGGATTTTCACGGGACTTTCATGGGACTTTCATGGCCAGCAGTGGCAAGGCATGTGCGTTAGCCTCTGGTAAACGTTTACGCTTTGCTATAGAAAATCACCATTCTATAGCTGGGTAAATCAGCGAACTAAACTAGGTCCATTTTCAATAGCAAACTGTTAGATTACCGGAGGGTAGTTACTTGTATCAATGGATTGGTTTAAGGGAAATGTTACCGGAAAACTCCAGATTTAATGGGAACAAATCGATGGTTTCCGGTTAAGATTTTCCCGTGGAAACCAATCAATTGATTGTATTTACCCTCTAGTAATTGCATGTAATTGCCAGTATCATTCAGGTGGCTTGTCTAAACATGGGGTACTCTCCGGCAAGGTACCAAAAGCCAAGTATTTGCAAGTTGGCGCCTCGAAACGCTATAGTTGTTGGTGTTGCCCCGTCTAACTATAGCAAGAAGGTGTATAACTACTATATAACGACAAGTTAAACTCTAATAGTGATACCTATAGCTATTCGGATATTCGGATATCTTATACTTTATGTTACCCCATTTAATTATAGACCCAACATCAGTAGTTATACACGAGCATCCCCTCGTGAAGACCAAACCTGTGGGTGTGCTTGAGCGCTCTCCGATCTGTGGGAACTTTGCCCTACGATCAAAGGCCGTCTCCTGACAGAGCTCAAGCATTTTTTCAAGGTGCCCCGTTGTGAGGTCAATGGCAAAGTTGGTGCAAATAACTACCCTCTGGTAATTTAACATAGCCATGGAAAATCACCATGTTTAATGGGTAAATCCACTATAAATTACCAGAGGGTAATATTTCACTAGGGTTCAGAAGGTGATTCATTATAGCTATTCTTTGATGGGGGCTGTCAAGAAATATCCAAAAGTCATAACTAGGGAATCATCTTGTACAGGTTAATATACGTAACATAATTAAATAGGCTCACTCAAAATGGATGTGTGCTGGATATACATACCAAACTAGTCAGATGGGGTTATAAACCAACACGCATCACTGGGGGCATCACCTCATGTAACGAGCTAGACCCTAGTCACCATAATCACCATCTTCTCACTACCACGTGAGACTTGTTGACCGAACCAAGTTGAATCAAGTCACCAAGTGACTGACTAACGACACTAATGCGATAAACCCTTAACCCTAAACAATCCTCAATCACCATGGATGCTATGTTTACCATCCCTAAATGGCAGTTGTTTATGGCTTGGGTTGCCCACATCAACCAACATAAACCAACTAACGCAAACCAATAATAAACCAACTATAGGAAAAAACAACTAACAATTATGAGGTTTATTATTGGCTAATAATTATACACTGTTCTGATTGGTGGTTTCAACCCCTCTGAAAAAATGAAAGTCAGTTGGGATGATTACTCCCAATATATGTAAAACATAAGAAATGTTCCACACCACCAACCAGACATATATATATATATGGCCTGATATGGCTAATAATCCATACACCAATATGTATTGGATACTGACCAATTTATGATCAAGGTGAATCACCAAGACCCTCCAATCGGTGGATAATTTTTGCCTAACATAAACCAAGATCCGCAAATAGTCAACCTCCGCAACACCCCGTGGGTCACCCTCCCGGTCATCCCAGGTCGTCGGCACCTTCATAAACTCCCGCCAGCTTCGGTGTCCAAATCGTGCCCGAGACCTAAGAGAGCTATGACCCAACTAACACTTAGACAGTCATGAGAATATAGGATATGGTTTTTCATGATATTAGTGGTTTGTATATTATATTTACTATACATGAGTGGTATAACTTTATAACAAACTATACATGTAAAATTACTCTTATAGTTTATAACAAACCATCTTGGTTTATTTAAACAAAATAAGACATAATGATACCCTCTGGTAAACTAGCATAGCTATGGAAAATCACCATTTGGAATAGGTAAATCAACTGCTATTGAGCCATTTTCAATAGCTATGTTACAAATTACCAGAGGTAACCAAGATGGCCATCACTCCAAGTTGGAGTTCTGGCCCAACTCACCCAAAGGTGATGGGCAATGGCGGGATGATTCTTGTTTTCCTCCTGCAACTGGTTGGTAAACAACATCACTTAAGTGAGGTTTTATAACAACCATTATCACACTATACGTGGTTATAATCCTATTATAACAACTATGGAGTTATGAGAATCCTAACTATATGTACCACTATTCTGAGCCAGTAACAACTGCGAAAAGGTCTATAACTATCTATAACATGTCTGTCTATGAATGTTGGTATTTCCATATGTTGAGTTACTGGATGGTACGGAACCCATATTTAAACGTGAAGATTTTGACATGGATAAAACGGAAAAGTTCGACTATCTTCCCGCAGTTCCTGGCCCAACATTTAAACAGCCGGAAGTGGATGAAAACCATGGGAAAACCATAGGAAAACCATAGGAAATGGAGGTTTACCCTCTGGTAAACAGCCACATAGCTATTGAACATGGCCTAGTCGAAATAGTGAATTTTCCCAGCTAATAGCATGGTGGATCTTTCCAGTTCGTTATGTGGCTGTTTACCAGGCCGGGTAAACATTCGGAAAAGCATTCGGAAAAGAAAAGATATACCTCGACATCGGATCTGGTGATCCCACCATAGTCGCTTCAGTTTCGTGGAGAATCTGGTGGTTGAGCTCGCCACCCCTCTGAAAAATGATAGAGTGAAAGTCAGTTGGGATTATGATTCCCAACTGAATGGAAAAATAAAAGCCATGCTCCAAACCACCAAGCAGTAATCAACTGAACAGAAAACATAACAACTTGGTCCACTCTCAGCTTTGGTGACCTTCCCAGTTTGCTGACAAATAGTAGTTTTCCCAGTCAACAATTTTGGTTTGATCCAATCAGCATCATTGCTATAGCCTTCTTTTAGAGATGAACTCCTCGTTCGAGCCAAGATGGAAACTCGGAAAATAACCCGATTTTCTATTCATTGTGGTGCACAGGCATTCCTAGGTTACGATACTCACCAGATCTCACTACGTAGTTTTATAACCCCAAAACATTTGATAACATGAGAACCAATGTCACTGATCATTTTTTGTCTATAGACTACTTAGGAGTCGCCGGGAACTTAGGCACTTATAACTTCATTATAAGTCTTTCTATAAGTGGGTTAAGTGATTAGTAAGTTGATTATAAGTGGCTAACTGGGCTGTAAGTGATGTTGAGTTAGGTGGCACATACTATTGACTTAGGTGACTTATAAGTATATTGTATGCTAAGTGGATAGGACTTAGCTGGAACTTAGGCAGCACTTAGCTTTGGTTTGAAAACGTATGATTTTGCAACATTTTGGTGGCTTCAGGATTGAAGAGTGTATATTGTGCAGCCATTTGCAGTTCAAACATGTCGGTTGAAAAGCAGCTGGACGCTGCACAGAAATTCCTACGTGGAATTACGTCTTTGACTTCGTACGCGGAAGTCAGGGAGAAGCAGGCGCTTGGAGTGCAGCGATCGCTTGAAAAGGTTGCAGCCTTTAGCGTTGCCCAAGCGGCAACATGGCTAGGAACTTTGCAGGAAGAATTGTGGTCTAATTCCCAAGTGGAAACCTTTCGCGAGATCGTGGCACTGAAAGCAAGGCCTGTGGAGGCAGATTCCGGTCTCCTACGAGGAGGACAGAGATGCTTGGTCGGAGCACCTCGCTTGGAATCGAAGGTACTTGGTGCACGATCTCCTCCGCGCCAGCAAGTGGCTGACGATCTTAGCATGGCACTTCTCGCTGCGACCAAACCGAAGGAGAGAGTTTCACTGGTGCAGAACCTGCGCTGCGCTTCTACGAGAAGCACGGCGCTGCTTACGGGCAGCTGACCTGCAAGGATTCTAAGTTGCATTCTGCAAGATTTAGTGCTATATTTTTTTGAAGGTTTGCTGTGTCTGCGGATGTCTGCAAACGTCTGCCGATGTCTGCGGACAAAAAGCAGAGTTCATGCTGTCTGCGGAAGTTGTCTGCGGATTCGCGAGAAAAGCCTCTTTGTGGACTTGAATCTGCTGTCTGCGTGTGTCTACGCAGCAAGAATCATGAGCAAATGGACATGGGAGTACGTCTGCGCTGTCTGCGGATGTCGGACGGGTGTTCAAGTTGTCGTTTGCACAATGTCTGCGGAGATAGCGATGAAAATGCTTTCCGGCTTACTTTTCTGTTCACCGTCGTTCTCTCCCGCAGCCATTTTTGTCATCAAATAGAAATTCCTCGGTGCAGCTTTCCGTTCGCTTCATACCCATTGATCCTGCCTACGTGGCAGAGATTTCGCAGATCAAAACGGGTCTGGGATGGTCATGGGCCTCTAAGACTCTAAGTGAGATTTATGCATATTTATGCTATATAGCTAAGTCCCGCGCCTGACAGAGCCGAAAACAAGCATGCAGCCATGGCTGCATGATGATGATGGAAGCATGCACCCACGTGGTGTCGCTATACTGCAACTTAGCCTACGTGGACAGAAACCCTAGAGGAAGGTTTCTTTAGGATTGCCCTCATAGCAAGATAACGGTCCAGTGTAAAAAGTGAGATGGGAATCCGGGACACCTCGTGCAAACTGAACCCATGCGCTTGCTGCGTGAAGACCAAAACGGTCTCTGGCTGCTGCGCTAACAAAATTTCCATCGATGGCGGTGAAAAATAAGCAAATCCGATTCCGATGTTGGAACAAAAAAAAATGATTCCCACAAAAGTATGCCACGTGATAAAAACCAGGAAAAACACTATCAAACAGTTAGCTTCACTTAGCGGCCACTTAGCTCACACTTAGCGACACCAAAACCTAAGTGCCACCTAAGTGCCAGCTAAGTGGCTAAGTTGCCCGGCGACTCTATAGTATAGACTATATCCTTATCTTCCACCAACCCATGGCATTTTTCGTGGCTCAGATAGCTGAAACCCAGACGAATCCTTGGGTTTTCCTCACGTCAGTTCAGCCGGCTCCGACGCTATCGAAAGGCGCCGCGCCTTGCACCAAATCAACACCTGGTGAAGATCAGACCCCCGATGTGATGTCGTTGTTGCTGTGAAAAGTGTGCACACTTCGTCTATAAATGGATGTGTATATATATATATATGTAGTGAAGTATGTTCAAACAATATATATATACGTATATATACACATCAATGAATAAAATTGGATTTATATTGTAACCTACATGTCGTTGTTGGTTTATGACATGAAGGTTTCCGTACAATGGGGTATACCCCAATAGCTCGATGGTTTATTTCATGAAAAATCCAAAAATAAAATGATTTAGGGGTACCCCCATGACTCGGGAAACCTCCACATGGAAAGTACGGACAAATCATCTACCTAGACTCTCGAAGTGTCTATAAAAACACGGAGTGTTTAACCCATAATTTCGATATTTTACGATTTTTGGGTGTATTTGGAGAGTCTAGGATGGTCTATGTTTTTTGTAAATGGATATAAGTTCGGCATTTTTCCTGATATGCAAAGTTTAACATGTCCCATATGCTCCATGTATGGTGTATTTAGCTACATTTGAGTGATTCTTAGGGTAAGTGTCAGTGTTGGTAAATATTCCATACATGGAGCATTTGGGTGTTGTTACCACGTTCAAGTGTACATATATTTAGCATTATTTAGCATAGACCCTGATTAAACCACTCATGAACCACCTTAGCTACGTAGGGGGCAGCACCGACAGCGATGATGTGATTTGAAGGAAAAACACTTTCCACACGCCAACACGGGGAATCATGGGTTAACACGAAATTCTCCCCATTTAATGGCTGGTTGGTGGTTGAGCCACCCCTCTGAAAAATGATGGAGTTCGTGAGTTGGGATGATTATTCCCAATATATGGAACAAATAAGAAATGTTCCAAACCACCAACCAGACATAAATATGGCCTGATATGGCTAATAATCGATACACCAATATGTCTTGGATACTGACCAATTTACGATCAAGGTGAATCACCAAGACCCTCCAATCGCTGTGGCAAGGTGAAAAATAGAATTCATGTTCCAAACCACCAACCAGATGGCAATAAGGCGGGGATAAATCCAGCATTTTCAGACACACCCGTATTTTTTCCACAGTGGACAATAGCTTGGGGAGAATAAACCTACATATGCAAGAACAATGCACCAAAACTGGAAACACAAACTAAGTTACTCCAAGTTGTTTTTTAGACGACCTGCAAGACCAAAACATGTTGATTATTGTTGATGTTTAATCCATGTTCTCGTTTATTGTAAGAAATCAACTAACGTTGGAGTATGTTACCAGCAAGTGACGCAAAAAACGGTCGAAAATGGCTAAAATGTTCTGCTTGTGGTGCAAATACGAAACGCAATGTGTGCTAAAAGCGCTTTGCACACTGCGAAAAGCGCTTTGCAAGGACAATCTGCCCATCTTTTATTATGATTATTTTGTACTAAAGGCTGTAAAAAAAACAGGTGAGCTTCTCCGAAAACGTGAAATTACCAGCCTATGCTGCATAACATTGCTTACGCTAGACCTTACGGTACGCTTACGCAACCACAGTTTTGACTTACGCGGCAGGCATGTGCGTGAAATGATGTGAAATGACTTACGGGAAGCTTACGCTGACAGGTTTGACTTAAAATGCATTTTATAACTGCTTATGCCAGAGGCATGAAACCGCTTACACCAGAGCTTGCGCCTGGTATGTTGCAAAAGTGCAAAGACGCCACCTTACGAAACCCAGTTTTTTTTGCTTACGCGACCCAATCATATGACACAACGATGTTTAAAGTGTATTCAAGGGGCTTCTGACGATACTCAGGTAAACCTTGTGGATCTTGTGGTCCGCTTGACTTCTTGATACACAGTTCACACCCTCCACTTTTCAACCTCAGAAAGATGTCAAGTAGTTTCTGCTCACGTTCACCAGGTTTGGATTTGCGGAAAGAACTGACTTTCCAATCAGAAACAATGTTGATTGATGTTGCTTGTTATGTTTTGCTAGTGAAATAATCAAGATAGCGAACATTGATCTTTCATATAATATATCATATATATATATATATATTATGTTCAGAAGACTAGCGAACATGTCAATGTGTACCTCTCTTGATGGACATGTCGATAGCTGGTCGTGTCAAGCATCAATTGAACCCAGAAAGAATCAGGGTCCAAATGGGTTCGTCTGAACATTTAGGGTAAGCCAAAAAATCATACAACATCATTTAAAAACCCACTTGACCATGGTGAAGCATCATTTTCCACCGAGATTTCCGTTTTTTTTCGGGGCGGGTCCCAAACCATTGGGTTTTCGCGTTGCTAATAACCAATAACTTTGATTTTTTGGGGGTACCACCATTTTAGGAAACGCCCATACATTAAAATGGTCATCACTTGGAGGTCAATGCCCCCGCCCGGCGTCACCAGAGTTCGACAGTGCCTCAGAGCTGTGATTTAGCTGATGCCTCAAACCTGCCCCAGTGAGGGCAATCCTATGGAGGTTTCCTTCAATGGGGGTACCCCAATCGCTGGATGGTCTTTTGTGGTACCCCAAATTTGGGGAAACCTGCATACTATATATATATATATAATATATATAATATATATATATACATAAATATATTATATATATAATATATACATATATATATATTATATATATATATATATTATGAATGGACTTTCTAATGGTAGTATATGTACTAGTTACTAGTACTTATAGAGACTTAGTGGATCTGGGATAGGCTATAAGTTGGGGATCATCCCAAGTCTGGCTGCATAGCATTTGCCAAGTGAATGCTATCAGCAAATTTTAAGGCTTAACGGCTTAACGTTAATGGTGTTTCATGGATTTTAATGGTGTTTATGTTGGAATGTTAATGGTGTTTCACTGGATTTTAATGGTGTTTATGTTGGAATGTTAATGGTACTTCATGGATTTTAATGGTGTTTATGGTGGAATGATGGTGTTTCACTGGATTTTAATGGTGTTTGTGGTGGAATGATGGTGTTTCACTGGATTTTAATGGTGTTTCATGGTGGAATGATGGTGTTTCACTGGATTTTAATATAGTTTAATGGTGTTTCATGGCATGTTAATTATTGTTAATTGTGGCTCACGGGATTTCAATGGAATGATCATGGATTTCCATGGATTTATCATGCCCAGAACTTTATCATCATACCGTCATATGCCCCATGGTGCTGGAATACGTATCAACATTCACCCCCAATTTATCATCCAAATGTAGGTAAATCTACCAGCACCATGGAGAATCTGGGTATTTATCAGGACAATGGATCAAATAGAATTGCTACATCGATCCAAAAACTCGCAAGCGCATGATATGTGATGCTATGAAAGTAAGTAACACACAAACTGCTTGGTGGTTGACCTACCCCTCTGAAACATATGGAAGTCAAATGGGATTAGTGTTCCCAATGGAAAAATAACAGCCATGTTCCAAACCACCAACCAGTTTTCCATAGGAGCCCTTTCACCCAGCCGTAACTATGGAACATCACCATTTTTTAGCTGGCTAAATCAACTATTTCTATGACCATTTTCAATAGCTATTTGACATAACCAGAGGGTAAACCTTCATTTTCCTATGGTTTTCCTACGGTTTTCCTATGGTTTTCCCATGGTTTTCCTAGGGTTTTCCTATGCCAAAACAACCTGCTAGGCTGGCTATTCAGCCTTGTTGGGAACGCACTTGGCATAGCACATTGCGTAGCGGTATCTAGTTGCAAAAACATCACCCGACCCGTTGATTTGACATAGCTATGGAAAATGGCCGATTAAAAAAAAAAGGTATCGCTCTGTACTACCGTGTATATACATACATATATATATATAATTACTAAACCACGTTTTGTTTGATCTTCCATAGCTATATTCAAATACCAGAGGGTCGTCCATGTAGACAGGTACATAGTTTGAAGAAAATCTGGAATTCTGGCTTTGGCTATGGCACTGCATCAAATCCTGATAGACTGTGATAGACATGCCAAGCACATAAGACACAAGTGTATCCTCATCTCTTCATCCCTCAAAAAAAATCAAAATATCTGGCATCATACGTTCCAACTCGTCCTGCCCCAATTTCCACTTTTTGCTCCGTGTTCCTCGAAGCATGATGAACTCAGCGACTTGTCAACTCAGCCTCCGCATTCACAGGGTCGTTCTCAACTCTCCTGACACTGATCACTAGGATCATCTGGTCATATCTGGTCGAATCCGACTTTGGCATCTTCAGCAGGATCACGAGGCGCGAGGCGCTATGGAAAGCTTCACCCGTCTCCTGGGATTTGCTGATTTTCCATGGTGGACTGATCATCGACTCATCGACTCATCCATGTCATCCATGTCTTCCAAGGTCAGTTTCAATCCATCTCGGGTCCACTTGGCGCTGCTACATCCTGCACTCAATGGCAGCATCCACACTTCCCCCGTGTCAAGTCGTTCCAGCCGTGCCCGGCACGCGCTGCTTGCGCCGCCGCCGGTGGAGAGCTGCAACTGCTGACGTTCCGATGACGTCAACTGGAGATGGACCAGGACTTCCCGGCCCGACGTTTGGATCTTCGAAATCCAACCAGGTCGATCTGGAGGGTCCTGGCGAGGCACGGTGCTTAAGGGCTGCTTGTTGAAAGGGATAGCTGCTATGTACAAGAATATATGGACCATTGAAATATCATATAACATAAATATATTATGTAACTATATTAGTATGCATGTACGTACGTATGTATGGGTAGGTATGTATGTAGGTATATATATATGTATCTTAGCGGCCACGCATTTGGATTATCCGATCCGATCCTTCTGCAACATGTAGGCCACACAGCCGGACAACTGCACCATGTGTTGGCGCCACTCTGGGGCGCCAAGCAGCATCGGAGAGAGTGCCACGACCAGCACTTGTCCACCTGGGGGACCGTGGATAACCAGCTTGGGTTTCACCATCGATGGAAAATGATGGAAAATGGTGACTTTACCAACATAGGGCATAACATATTTGTACATAGATATAATATATTTAGCTAAGTTGGTTGAGAGTTGGGTTAACTGTGGGGTTTTCTGCGCTTCCCAACCTGGCCGTAGAACTCGTCCATACTCGGCCAAGAGCTTGTGGACACACTGCAGATCCTCCGGCGCCTGCTGATTCAGGAGATCAGTTATGAGTAGTTACGAAATGTAATGAACCCCTCAGAATTACATACATCACATCTATTATATATATACACGTTTTCAGAGCCTAGATTTTAGGGTTTAGGGTTTTAGGGTTTTGGGTTTTTAGGGTTTTAGGGTTTTGGGTTTGGGGTTTTAGGGTTTAGGATGGTTTAGGGTTTTAGGGTTTAGGGTTCGTCGTCTGGGAAATCTCAAACACTGGCCCTGCGCAGGTGTTTGAGCATGTTCAAGGATAATGTTTAAACATGTTCGCCCTAACCCGGACGTTGCTCCACACTTACAATCGTCATGATCATCATCATCACCTCATGGTCATCATCGCATTAAAGTTCGCAACCCCCTATGAACAATATGTTGATTGGGGTAATAACATCAACTTTATCTTCATAAGGGATCAACATTTGCCACCCCCTATGAACAATATGTTGATTGGGGTAATAACATCAACTTTATCTTCATAAGGGATCAACACTCGCCACTCCCTATGAGCAACATGTTGATTGGGGTAATAACATCAACTTTATCTTCATAAGGGATCAAATTTTGCCGCCCCTTATGAACAATGTTGCGTGGGGTAGTAACGTCAACTTGATCTTCATAAGGGATTCAAATTCGCAACCCCCTATGAACAATATGTTGATTGGGGTAATAACATTGACTTTATCATCATATCCACCTGAAGTCAGACCCGGCGCAACGTCAGGGTTGCAGCGAACATGTTTAAACGCCATTTGAACCTTCCGGGCAACACACAGCGCCTGGCGGTGTATATATATATATATAATCATATTGTTATTGTGTATAATATATATATAATCATATTATTATTATATATATACATATAAACACATGTATATTATTAGTTCATATCTTGCTTCAGATCTCACCAAATCGCTCCCCACATCGCCAATCACCTTGTGTCCGATGAGACCTTTGTCAATCACCAAATCGAAGGTCTCCGACCAGTCCTCCGGCATTGCAAAGGCATCCCCATGGTACCACTCCACACGGTCATCAACTCTGCGCATGGCTTCCACACAGCTGGAAGAGACGTCCATGGCGGTCCTGATCAGGGCCCCAGTGCAAGATGGCCTGATTCTATACTTTGACCCCAGGAAACGAAGAAAAACAATCAGAGTTGAAATTCTACAGTTATGGCCGGCCATTTATTAGTTATAACTGGTTATAAATGGGATTATACATTCTATAAATGGGGTTATAAGTACTTATAACTGGTAAAGGGCCATAACTGTACCACATTTGGAATTCTGTGACTATTCCACATTTTGTATTCCATTATCCTCAATTCCATGGTATTTCAGGTAATATCTGGGTAGAATGTCTACCTTGTTTAAGATATTTTACGGTCTGGAGCACCTGAAAAACATCATGGCGCCACGGCCCCAGTGGTGAACATGTGCGGTGTTGAAAACGCGCTGGGTACAAGGTGGGTGATGTTTGTTGGTTTAGTTTCACCCCAGGAAAGCATAGGAAAACTATAAGTCGTCCCTGCAATGTGGCCCCCCAGTTATGTTTGTTGGTTTATAATGTCATTAACGTTATAAGTATCATATATAAACATTCATAAACCATTGTGTTTGGAGTTTTCAGTATTGTCTATAGTTTTTTGCGTATCATAGAACCATAGTGACATTGGAGAAAAATGTGGCCCCCAACTTAGCTCGAGGCCTTCACCTCGTGCATCTTATGAGGAACACTGAAGACTTATCCGTCACAAGATGCACAACTGACTCACTTGACTGGTGGGACAGCCTGGAAAAATGATGTTTATGTTAATGGTATCTTTGATAGCTATGTTCATCCCATCCACGTTTGAGAAATAGCTTGCGAGAACTCTTTAAACAACAAAGTGAGAATCAATGAGCAATATCTCAATACCGCTCTTCAACCAGGAGTTCGCATACCAATTCATCCACCCAACTATAATCTTCTGCCAGCAAACATCAACTTGACATCAACGATTTATAACGTAATTGTACAATACACACATATATATATATATATAATTATATATATTATATTATATATATATAATTATATATATTATATTATATATATATATGTAATTATATGTATATAATTATATATATATATATTATAGTATATTATCATTATATATCCGCCCACACACACATAAAGAAACTCCTCCAAGCATCACTTTCATCCCCTCCATGGCCAACACCTGTGGCACTTCCGACGTCCCCGCCGCCACCACCAGCACCGTGACCGCCGTTGCCAGAACCGGAAGCGTCTCTGCCAGCAGCGGCAGCAGCTCGTCGCAGCGACAGTAGCAGTCCTCACGGCGTAGGACGCCGCCGCGACGCTGCAAGCTGCGCAAATAGTAGGTCTCCCAGTAGCCCTCGTCCTCGGTGCCCCGGATCCGGTTCAGGATCCGGTTGTTGGGGGGTAGTTAATCCCACGAATCGTAAAGGGATGAACAAAAAGCCAATTAGATTCATGGAAGATCCCCACTGATGGGATGAAATATGAGTTATGACAAACCACGGATCCAGTGGTGGGGCCCGCACATCCTTAAGGCCATTCAATGGCCATGAAAAACGCCAGCAAAATCTAGTGCGCAGACTCCGGTTCCTCCTCATTTTCCCTCTGCAGTTATGGCCCAAAATACCAGTTATAAGTACTAAGAAAACCCCATTTATAGAATGTATAATCCCATAGAAATAACCAGTTAGTTCACTAATAGCCATGGCCACAACTGTGAAATCTCAGACTCCAGAGGTGAACTTCCCCCCATGACCCCAGGATACCCCAGGTGACCCATCCCCTCAGCACAGCATCTGTCGTCATCGCTGCCGCCAGGACGGCCATGGTAGACGTGTGTATATGCGTACAACCATCTGGTTGGTGGTGCAATGTGCCCATCTTGAAAAATGATGGAGTGAGTTCGTCAATGGGAAGGATGACATCCCATATATGAAATGGAAAATAAAGCCATGTTTGAAACCACCAACCATATATATATACATATACATCGTATAATATAAAAACGAATTCTATGCAACTACACACACAAGTGATATATGTGACAGCATGTGAAATTATACACGTAATTTCTGTGTTTGCTTTTGTTACTTCATGATGATGTCCCTACGTATTTCTGTTTATGGTTTGAAGGCAAGCTTCAGGTACCGCAAGTTGCAGGGTTTCTTCGAAGGAGGGTACCAGCGCATGATTGAGTGCAAAATCTACAAATATACCCTCTGATTATTTAACCTAGCCATGGAAAATGGCCCATTTATAGATGGTTTACCGAACTTAAAAATGGTGATTTTCCATGGCTATGTAACAAATAACCAGAGGGTATATATATATACTAATTACATATGGCTATGGGTCAGAATTCACCTGAGGGACCACAGCTTGAAGTCATATCAAGCATCAATTACGGTACTCAATGACTTGACCAAGGGGCGCAGGATCCTCGTGGTCACCAAATTCCATACACTAAAAAGGCCCATAATAGCAATAAATGGGATGAAGCAACTCCTGCATTTAAGGAAAAGCATTAATTATTTCACTTAAACGAGGTTGTAAGCCAGTTGTGAGTTGTTTTTTTTTTTTTTTTTCGGGCTATCACTGAAAGTGTTTTGCACATGCCAGCACTATCTATAGTAACATGATCAGTTGACAGTTATACATCTCTGAGCGATAAATCTTGACTTTTGCACCTAACTTCTTCAACGTATGATGTTCTCCAAATTCCAACTTTCTCGGATCTTGGGGACAAACTACATAAAGCTACCGGAGTTGTGAACCTTGATGACCTTGATTGCTAAATTTAAGGGAGATTACGAAAATGTGACCTGTTAAAACCTGGGATTTTTCTCCCCATCCGTCCCAGGATTGGTTGAAATCTACGGCCCATAGGGCCCCCATGAGAATGATGAAAACCAATGGATTTGTTCAACTTTTACCTTTCATCATATATATCTATGTATGTATATATATATGTATATATAAATATGTATATGTATTGATATATATATATATATATATGTATATATGTATATATACTGGGCGAAAACTGGGCCAGCCCTCCAGCACTTTTCGTCACGTTTTGTGTTTTCCGAACCTTCCTGGATGTCTTTGTGACCCCAGCATCGCCTCGAGAGTTGGACATTGGGGACATGGGATGGGTAGACGACTGCCTCCGTTTCACAGCCAAAAAAAAGGCTGTTGGCCCTTGATAGCTATAGAATGCTATAGATGAAACATGATGAAACTATAACCTCATTGAAGTGATATATATAAACATACAACCTGAGTTGCAGGAGTTATATATAATCCCATTTAAAACTGTTGAATGCCATAACTGTAAAGTTCAATAAATATCACGCAGGAGCTTGAACAACCTGCCCCTTGATAGGTTCCTTATCGGATCTAGGCGGATGTAGGCGGTGTCCCTCATCCGCATAGGTGGGTGTTTGTGGTGGGACCAGCATACCGAACATCTGGAAAAATGTTGTATCAAGTTGCATCTATGGCACCATGCAATACCCTCCAGTGATCAAAGATGGCAAGCTGGGACATCCTCTATGTATATATATATATATTATATTATGTATATATTATATTGTATTATATATATATATTTAATTATAGATGGATGCCTTAATTACAACTCTATAAACGGGTGGTAATTTCATTGCTTTGATTGCCTTGGATGTCCGAGACCATCGGAATTTGACACGAAACTTCAGTAAACTATGGGCCATGGTTAAATAACCAGAAGGTTTGAGAAAAAAAACGAGAACTGTTTTAATTCTTCAATCAATTTTAGTGTTGTCAGAAATGACCCAGTAAGAAATAACCATACCTAATCAAACGTAGAACCATTTTGGGCAACGATCTTACTTTTTCTAATCATCTATAACTTCAGTAGCTTCACTAGGGGTCAAAATGATACATATTCCATAATAATGATATCTTCACGAACACATGTTTCAGGTTGAACACTTGCTCGGTAGATTCCTTTAAACATTTTATCATCAATTTGAATCATCATTCCAGGATGTTCGACACAAATATGAATGAAATCAGAAACCACAACGACAATGGTTGATGTGTCCATATCACAGGCTGTGACACAATTCCACCTGTTGATCTTAGTTTCAGACCTTTGAAAATCCCGAGTAGCTGCCACATGTCAAAATCGTATATAAACCATTTGGGAGTTTCCTAAAATGGGGGTACCCCAAAACCATGGTTTCAATGTTTCAGTATATTTCAGTGGTCTAATGGCTTGCATGTTTGGGATTGTTTGGGGAGTATACCCGTATTATAGGAAACCTCATGACACTTCCATTTTATTGAAGATTGGATCGTAAAATATTGGATCACCATATCATAAACAAATTAAATGGTCTAATAACTTGGATCATAAACCGTGTGTTATTCTTTTGGTGATCCAACGCTTCGCGTCCCACTCTTGGATCGTCGACAAGTGTGCTTCAAGTCGTCCAACGCGACCTCAGATTAAGCAAAGGATGTGGCAAGGTTATGCAAAGGTTGTGAGAAGACTATGCAAAGGTTATTCAGAGGTTTGGAGAAGGTTATGCAAAGGCTTTGAGGAAGCTTTGCAAACTGGTTGAAAAAGCTAGAAGCGATTCTCCAAACAGAAAATCGTTTCAGTCACGTTTTTGTTGAGCTATGCTCCTGAATCAAATTGAGAATATCGTTTGTTCATTTTGATCCTATAAATCTATAATATACGACAACAAGAATAACAAATGAAAGGTTGATTTTCATACTTGATCCCCATCCAGGGGATGAGCAAGTTGGATTTTTTTTGCGATGCAGCGCAAATTTTGACACTGCTAAGCAACAGTCTCTACAATGCTCAGACCCCAGAGTTGGAAGTTGGTGTTTAGCCCCAGCAAAGACCATCCTGTGGTAGCTCCAATCAAACCTGTTTATGAACGACTCTAAACTCTAAACTAAACCAACCTTGCCAACAGTTCCTGTCTATGTTTCATCATCAAACAGGACCAGCTGCATACATCCCCAACGACTCCAAATTTCTCGCCATGAAATCCCTATGGCTCAGCGAGCCAAGTCCCGATCGAGACCTCCAGGTGGTTTTTGACGCATGTTTTTCATACCCAACTGCCAAATGGAACTAACCAACTCTTGGGTATTTGTGGTCTGCATACTGAGGGGTGCATCCCGGCTAGTGAATGGGTAATAAATGGTAATAGTAATAACATATAATAACATACAAATTGTCTGTTATCAATAGAGTGGTTTAAGACAAAAGCTGCAGTTACAGCGAATTTGCCAGCCAGGAAACCAGGAAACATTAAAAGCTATGTGCAACATCACCAGTTATATTGTCCATGTTCCTTAAAGAAAACACTTAGCCTCTGGTTATTTACCGTAGCAAACTGGAACATCATCATTCTATTTAGAACAGCTAGCGGTAAACCCATGGTGTTTAGAAAAAAATCTATGGCCACGGCTTCCCGCAAACTTTAGCAAATAACCAGAGGGTAATTAGCAAGGAATAACCATTAATCACCATTGATCGTCATTAACTGTTGTTAAGCATCATTAACCAGATCGCTATGTAGCAAATAACTGGAGGGTAAGTCCCAGGAATCACCCTTGATAGTATAGCGACTATATCTAAAACAACAAATATCATGTTTAGTACTTAAAACATATTTAAACTATGGTAATTTTGGTTAGATGTTCATGTTCATTAATATCACCAGATTGTCCTAGTATTTATCTGGTTGGTGGTTGAGCCACCCCTCTGAAAAATGATGGAGTTCGTCAGTTGGGATGATGACATTCCCAATATATGGAAAGTCATAAAAGCCATGTTCCAAACCACCAACCAGTAAATCATCCAAAGGTATATCCTACTTAAACATGGTGATGTTCCATGATTTTCCATAATTATGTTTGTTTACCGGGTATGAATGAATTGCAAATGATGGAAGGAATCTCCCTGTATTTGTCGCTGATGTGGCCAACTCTGAGGCCCCCCAGCGTTGCAACGCAAGGATTCCCAAGGTGAGCAGCGACTCGTGGAAGAAACCAAAGGTCTCCTGAGGCATGGGAATATCATGGGAATATCATGGGAATATCATGGGAATATCATGGATCATGGTCTATGTTACCCTATCGACTATAGAGATATCTAATATCAACCCTACCTGGAGCTGGAAATGAGGTTTTGTATAAGAGAGCGGGGTTTTTGCTGGGGAGTGGATTGCCATTAAATATGATCATAAAACACTCTAAATACTACTGTTTTATGCACTTGGAGGGGTTTGAAACCATAGGGTCCCATACGAAGTGGTTTCTTGGGTACTATGGATCAATCACTTGCTGTAATATATTGTAATCTTTGGGATCATCAAATGGAAAGTAGCGAATACTACTTGAGAGGGATCATAAATGGTTAATAACCATCGTTCACCCAGAGATGAGATAAGCCACTGAACAGGGACTTAGCAACCAGGCAAGCCGTAACTAGATACTCACCAGGATGATCCTCTTAAGTAGAAAAACTCGGCGTTGTTTCTCCGGTTGCTCCCCAACACCCTTGCGGAAAATGGATGTCACGTCAACCAATCAGATTACCCTCTGGTAAACGGGCTAACATAACTATGGAAAATCCCCATTTTTTTAAGGGTAAATCCACTATTTCTATGGCCATGTTCAATAGCTTTTTGTGTGTTTACCACAGTTATGGCCCTTTACCAGTTATAAGTACTAAGAAAACCCCCATTTATAGAATGTATAATCCCATAGAAATAACAAGTTATAACTAATAGCCA